TATTATTATTATTATTATTATTATTATTATTATTATTATTATTATTATTATTATTATTATTATTATTATTATTATTATTTACATACCATCCATCTGGTAGCCAAGGCCACTCTGGGTGGTTTACAGCAACTAAGCAGAACAATAGAATAACAAAATATGACAACATCAATAAATTAAAAAGTGCAAAACAAAATAGCATCAAATACAGTGGGAGACATCGTGGAATACAATACACCTGCTTGCACCTGCTGCTAAAATTCAGATATAAATATGGGTAAACTTTATATAGAGGCTAGACATCGGGCTACTGTTTTTTAGATGTGTGTAGCATAATTCAGTTTTGGCTTCATTCCAGTGTGTGTGATCACTGGGATGCAACCAAACAGTTGGCTAGCTATCTCTATGGAAAAGCTGTTAATTGGCATCTTCCACTCGTCTCTCCTTGGCAGAGCAGGGGAGAAATTTTGCATTTATTTTCAATGGTCGCTGATACGTTTTGAAAGGGTTTTTTAAAACCTATTAGCAACCATTAAAAAGAAATGCAAAACTTCCTCACTAGAGGTGAGTGGCAAGGAAGACTCAGAGAGAAAGCTTTCTGTTACTCAATATCATTAAGCAGGTTAATTATCTCTCTCCTGACTGGTAGTAAGAGTCAAAAGGAGGAATGGTGGTAGATTTTAAGAAAGGAAGTCTTACATGGCTGCTTAAGGGATGATGGTGGGCTGTGTTGAGGAACTCTTTGTAGTTCCATTGTCATGGACAGATCACTACCTGGTAAGGTTTAGAATTACTAAAACTCCTAACCTCTGCAGGTGTGGGGAACCAAATAGGATGGTCCACAATGGGAGACTGATGGATCTGACTGGTTTTCTGGTGGCTCTTGGGGAATTTCCTATTGCCTCAGCAGGTGATCCCGTGAAAGTCCTGGTTGACCTCTGGAATGGGGAAATGGCCAGGGCTGTGGACACAGTTACTCCTAACTGTCCCCTCCCACAGAGTAAAGCCAGACAAGCTCCTTGGTTTACTATGGAGTTGGTGGTATGAAATAAGTAGGACTGTTGGGGACTGAAGTAGGTCCGAAGTGGGATGGAGACCAGAGCAACAGTGGCAGACAGCTCAGAGCGAATCTGACTCATTTGAAGGCCCATTCTGTGGCCGTAGATACAGCAAATAAAGGATTATTGTGTCTGCACAGAATTGTCCAGCGGAGTTATTTCAAGTGGTGAGGGGCTTAATATGTGTCCCACCAAAATAAAAAGATCTGAACAGTCAGCAATCCATTGTGAGGAATTTGCATGACACTTTGCAAGCAACATCACTCAGATCCAGTCTAACTTGGATGATGTATTTTATGCATGTCTTGTGGATGCAACCTTGGCCCCTACCTGCCCCATTTTAATAGACTTGTTTCTGTTGGTGCAGCCTGAGGATGGGGACAGGATTCTTGAAGAGGTGAATGCCACCACATGTGTGCTGGACCCCTGCCCTTCCTGGCTTATAAAAGTAGACAGAGGGAAAATGGTTGAGTGGTTAAGGGGAGTAGTGAGTGCTTCCTTGCAGCAGGGTAGGATCTCAGCATGTTTAGAGGGGGCAGTAATAAGACCATGGTTAAAAAAGCCCTCAGTTTCTGGGGAAGATACTAGCGTGCGTGGTGTTTTCTCAGCTTCAAGAATTTCTGGATGAAGTAGATTATCTAGACCCATTTCCGTCTGGCTTCAGGCCTAACTTGGAACAGAGACAGATTTAGTCACTTTAGTGGATAACCTACACTAGGAACTGGATAGGGGGAGTGTATCCTTGTTGGTATCCCTTCTCAGCTCTTAAGAGCCTCAGAGGAGACCCTCTTCTCAGTCCTATTGCCATTGCAGATATGCTTAATGGGGACACGAGACAGGGCCTTCTCTTTGGCAGCACCTAGATTGTGGAATACTCTCCCTTGGGAGATTAGGAGATTCTACTAATCAAAATACTTCTGTGAAGATAACTTGCAACCTAATAAAATATAGCAGTTGGCAGAAACGGCTCCAGGTGTAGTCTCTGATACCTGATCTTTTAAGATACCCAGTGAAACATAAGAAACCCAGTGTTATGTAGTAGTTAAGGTGTCAGACTAGGACTCAAGTCTTATGTTTGATGCAAGTAGCTTTGTTAACCTGTGCAAGCACATCCAGACAAAAAGAAAAATAAAAAATAAACAGGGCTCCAAAAAGCTTTTGTTGCATACTTTTTGTTTTTATCTAGATAGGATCAGGAACATTTGCTGTTATGCACTGTCCAGTAGTGATTTTCCATGGCTGGTCCAACTACATCACACTGGTTTTGTGAACTCAGGACACCTAGGTTAAAATCTGCATTCAGCCATAGAAGCTCGTTGTGGTAGCAGTGCTGAATCACTCTTGGAACATCTGAGATACAGGCCAGCTACATGGGAGTTTATCTTGCTTTGTAGCCACTTGTTGGAACAGTTGGGATTACTCTTAAAATTTCTGACTGCATTACATTCTTGTTAGAGCATTCCAGTGAGGACTAATCCATCCCAGATTGGTCTAGGATTGGAGCTTAGTGCTTGTTTGGAATAATTAGGATTGATCCAAATAAACATGGTTTCCTGTGCTTAGACCACTCCTGTGTGGTGTTTGGTGTATATGTTCTTCCTACATGTCATTGGTGACCTGTAAAAGTGGGTGTGGTCTGGCTGTGACCATGGATGTTATGCTCTGTCCTATTTTGAAGTAAAAAAAGGGCATATTTGTTTTATTTTTATTTTTGAAAAATACTTTCCCACTATTGTACTGCATCACTTAAGTGCTATGCCACTTACCGAAAAGTATTTTTTTTAAAAGGAGAAGAAAGGGAGAAATGCAGGACTGAAATGTGCCCCCCCCTTTCTGTGCATACCCAGCATTAATGCCAACCCTCAAGCAAACTGGCTGGCTGCTGTTGCAAAAGAGAAGGTAGGAAGTGGGGAGTGAGAATGGGATGGGCACATTGCAACCAAAGGGAGCAAAATGGAGTGCTCCAGTGCCAACATGTGGTTGACTAGAACAGATCGTTACTATAGCAGCTGCAGAAGCAATTTTCATGTGAACAGAAGGAGCAATCTAATCAAGCCCAACTGTTCCAAATCTCTTCTTATTCTAACTTCATTTTTGTTAAGTATATGAGCTTTTAATTTATGCATAATACATTATTAAGAGGAATGCTTTAATGAGGAATTGTAGACTATCACATTAAAAAAATATCCAAATAATATATAGGTGGTTAATTCTCTGTTACATGCAAAGATACTTTGCTTTCTCATTTACTTTGTTTCTGCATCAATGTTTATGAAGTGCAGGAAGGAAGACTTAAACCCAATTTCATGTGCTCTCGAAGAAGTAGAAAGGATGGATAATAAGTCCCTAGCAGAGAGTATTTGTTCGAAGAAGTAGAAAGGATAATAAGTCCCTAGCAGAGAGTATTTGTGTATTGCACAGCAGGACCATATGGTTCTGTGTTGGCCTGATAAGATGCTGAATTGGACTACTGACATTTGAAGTAGAGAATAGCCTAACTGCAAAACAATTTTGTGTATACAACAGATTAATCAGCGGGGTGTTGCAAGCTGTTATAATGACCTGCTAAAGGTGGTTGTTTGTATTCACCAATAGAAACATAGTTCAGTACTTTAATTATGTACCATGTCTTGTTTCTCATGCTGGCATTAATACAACTTTGAATCAGAAATGCAATAACTGCAACATTTCCTTTCCTTTCATTGTATTATTTATAACTTGCCTTTCTCCCAAAGAAGATGCAGTGTGGCTTAAAGCAGACAATATAAAAGCTAAAATGACTATAAATCATTAGAAAGCAATTAAACCAGTATCATATCATATCAATATCATATTGGGCCCTAGATACCTGAAGGACCGCCTCCTTCCATATGAACCTACCTGGCAGTTAAGATCTAATCAGGGGGCCCTTTTGAAAGAGCCGTCCCTCAAGGAGATAAGAGGAAGGGCTTGTAGAGAAAGGGTCTTTTTGGCAGCTGTCCCCAGACTATGGAATGCCCTCCCGACTGAGATTCGTCTGGCACCGACACTGATGACATTTCGGCACCAGGTCAAAACCTTCCTGTTCCAAATGGCTTTTAACTGAAATAATATCAGCTGTGGGTCTGATGGCAATTTTTAGAATATATATTTTAATTGCATTTTAATTATTTTACATACATACATATTCAAAACAGCTTAAACTATTTTAAAACATGAAGATATAAAGTCTTAAAACCGCTTTTTAGAAACCCTCATAGGCAGCCAGTTGCTGGAGAAAGGCCTGCCAGCAAGGTCCTTGCCTGCTGGCAGAGAAGACAGCAAAGAGAGGGCCAGCCAGGCCTCCCTTGAGAAACAGCAAGGTCCTTGCCTGCTGGCAGAGAAAACAGCAAAGAGAGGGCCAGCCAGGCCTCCCTTGAGAGGGATTTCCACAGCTTTGGAGCAGCAATGGAGAAGGCCTTTCTCTCATGTCCTCACCAAATGTGCTGTGAGAGTGGTGGGACAAAGACAAAGGCCTCTCCTGATGATGTTAAAACCAAGGCAGGCTCATATATTGAGATGCAGTCTTTCGGATAGCTAAGCCCCAAGTTGTTTAAGACTTTGTAAGTGAAAACAGGACTTGAAATGGGCATGGAAATGGACCAGCAGCTAGTAGGTAGAGCTGTTGTTATGGGAGAGTAATATTTATTTATTTATTTATTTAATTTATATCCCGCCTATCTAATCAATTAAGATTACTCTAGGCGGTAATGTGCCCACTGTTAAAAAAAAAAAAAGTCCTGGTTAACAATCTGGCTGCAGCATTTTGGAAGTGCTGGTGTTTCCAAACCCTCTTCAAATCCAGCAGCACACCCAAGCTCTGAAGCTGTGTTTTCAGGGGGAGGGGAGTGTAACTTCATCCAGCACATCCTGAACCCAGAGTCCGAGATCTGCCTTTCAGCTGAGCAGGAACAACTCTTGTCTTGTCTGGAATGAGCTTCAGTTTTCAGAGGTAGAATATTGTGTTTTGTTTAAACTACAGTTTCTAGTATTTCTCAGCCAGCATGGCTACTGGTTCTGAAATTGCAATCCCACACAAACTGTTTAGGGAACAAGCCCCTTTTAGCTCATTCAGGTTTCCTTCAAAGTAAAAATATAGTGGATTAGACTGCTCATTATCTAGATCAGGGGTGTCCAACCTTTCACCTTCCCTGGGCCACATTAGAAGATGAAAATTTGGTTTGGGCCACAGGAAATAAATTGAAAGTGCCACTTCCCCTTTTGTTCTTGGTTGATATTGACATTTGCCTTTTCAGCCAGCTTTTTAATAGAAACTCACAAAGAACCCTGGAAGGTTCTAAACAGATTCCATGTTCCCCCAATTTCTCATTTTCTTCACACTATGGAATTTGGTCTCAGAAAATGTAGTGATGGCCACCAACTTTGATGGCTTTGAAAGTAGATTAGACAAATTCATAGAGAATATGGCTCTGTGGTTGTTATATATGATGGTTATATCACATCCAGTACTACCAGAACAATATACATCTGTATAGTGGTTGCTGGGTACCACAAGAGTCAAGGTGCTCTTATATATCTGTCATGTTTGTGAGTTTCCTATAGGCAACTTTCTGGCCATTGTGTGAACAGAATGCTGAATTGATAGGCCTTCAGTGTGTTCCCGCAGGACTCATCTTATTTTCCTATGTTGTTACTCACTCTGGCAGTCAAAAGATTCTGTTCATCAGCACCAGCCACAAATAGGTTACAAGGAAGCCAAGATAAGATTCAGATTGTGGGGCTTCACTCCTCATTTGTCAAAAATAGTACTGTATATAATACTGATAAGTTTGTTCTGAGATCTAGGTTATGTTATCAGGATTGCATATAAATATTTCCTACTGGCAGTGGATATATGATGTTTCTTCCAGCAAGTGGATATATAATGTTTCTGCCAGGAAACTTGTAAAATTGGCACTATCCTTAAATTTGAGTCAGATGGCATTAGGAATGGGTTATACCAATAGATTTTAAACAATGAAACTTTCATGTTGAGCTTAAAACACTAGAGGCACAATTGAGTAAACATTAGTCTTGACTGCATACAGTTAAAAGGAATGGGGTAACTTTACCTGTAACTAGAATGGCATCAGTCGAACATTGAATTTAAATCAAGGGGACTTAACCCTGATTCATTTCTTCTAATATGTGGCCAGTAATAATTGCTCTTTTCTTGGTAATATGCCCTAGCCTTGTGTTTCACTAACGTACACTTATCATAGTAATCAATATTTACCACAGAAACTAAAAAGCAATATAATAATAAGCTATGGATAGAATCTTCTTGCAATTGTCCAGAATTAACAACGGACTTTATCCAAAGGGTTAGTGAAGAAACAGAATCAGTTTTCTGTGTAAAAAAGAATCTTTGTGCCTGGATAGCTATGGATTGGGAAGTGACGGATGCAATAAAGTAAGACTATAATACTGTACTGATACTTTTTAGGATACTTCAGAAGCAGGGTGGGAAACTTATGTCCCTCTACTAGATCGTATGCAACTCCTGTCATCCTTGAGTTTTGTCCACACTAGCTGGAAAATATGGAAATTAAAATTCAATAAAATTCAACGTCATCTCTTTCCTCCCTCATTGTTCAAAATGGTTTTTAAAAAACACTCTGGTGTATGAATATGGGCTATTGTGCTTCTGTATCCATCACTCAAAATGCCAGGAAATAGCTGCATTTGCTGCACCACATTGTGCCATTGGAAGCCATTGGGGGCTGTAGGGGCATAGTCTTCAATTTCCAAACATCTCTGCTTTTGGTAAAATCATTTCCATTTTCTGAAAGTCTGACTGAAATCATGTGAAATACTTCACAATTTTTTTGGAGGAGACAGGAAATGTGTTATTGTTTTTTTACATTGAAACCATCATACAGTTGTTTAATCCTGTGTTAGTAGAAATACTGAAAACATTAATATACTAAATACTGTCCCTAAGTTACAGCTTTTAAACAAGTTTCTGCTTACAATATGGATTTTAAGCAACTGCTTTGAATTTTTAGGCAAGTTTTTTTCCTGTTACATGATTTTTGATGAGCAGAGATAAGTAAATGAAACAGATGGGATTTAGGAATAATGAAATTGAGTAATAGGAAAGTAGGAAACAAGCAAACACTGCATTTGGTTGTGCTTTGTCTTTGTTTTTATTAGTATCAAGCAACATGACAGATATGGTCAGCTGATCTTGCAAAATTCCACTGCAGCAGACACTGGTGAATATAGCTGCTGGTTACTGGCGTGCACTAGCTACAGCTGCAAGAAGGATGAGTCAAGAACAGGATCAACTTATATATTTTTTGCAGGTAACATGATGGAGAGTAAATTCTAAAGATATTATTAAAGAAGCTAATTTCCAGCATTTTTGTATCTGCACTTGATAGTATACCTGTTTATATGCCACGTTTGTTGCTGCAGCCTTTGAATAACTATAAGTCAAATGACTGGGAGCTAGAAATCCTTGCTGATTTCTTCTGCTAGATTCATTTTCTGACTGTCCTCATCCTAAGGAAGGTTCTGATAGAGTTATCTTGAAGGTGCTAAAGGTAATTCTGTCTCATGTTGTTGAAGTGAAGAAAGACTGAGGGAATTAGAGTGAGCTTTGGTAGGGACGGACTATGAATTCTGAGTTTATTCCTTTTACATTAAGCTCCAGTTAATGGATCTAAGGGTTCTGGTAAAAAACAACAACAAATTGGACCTCACATGCCTGAAGTCTGCTTCTTCCTGCCTAGAGAGAGATGGGAGAAGAGTTATTATTTGTCCCTCCCAAATTGATAACTGTTTGGTCAACACACAAACACTGGCATTCAAGATACAGTCAAAACGCCCTATTCAGGTGTAGTAATATCAGATCTCTTGGAAACCTATCAACACAGGTACTATCCTAGTCTATGTTCCAAATGTTGAAGAAGAAGAGAAGAAAGGAAGAAAGAAAAACCCATGAAGCTTTTATGCATGTACGCAGGGAATAAATTGATTATTCACAAATGCAGTATATACAGATGGTAATGTGCAACTCTGCAACATATGTGTACGAAACAGAGCAGAACAAACATAGTTGATGAATTTGGCCTAAGATTCAGAAATGAAACATGATAGAAACTCAAAATAATTTTGTGAGCCATGCACCAAACAACCAAAAGATGATTGAGCAACACCAAGGGGCCCATATATAAGTCAAATAGACTATAGCAAAAGATAGATAAACTGTCTGCCAGAACAAGACTAGAAACAGACTATGGTACACACCAGAAACTGATAATATAAAAAATTGGAGTAAAGCTCAGGAAGAACACTAAACAATCATAGTGCCAAAATATAATCTGAATAATAGTTCTGATGAATTTAAAATCTATGTACAGAACAGATTTGCAGTGCTAAACTCAGTTGACTACAAACCATGAGAACTGTGGTTTGATACCAGAGATATAAACAAGGAAGAATGCAAAAAGACTTCCTACACTCAAAAGAAAATGAAAGCTTTGGTGGATGACTGATATAGCTCTTAATATTGTTAACAACAGAGAAGAAGCAAACATAAAAGGTGAGAGAAATACGGTTAGAATCCTAAATGCAACTTTTCAGAGACTAATGCATAAGGACAAGGAGAATTTTCAAAATAATTGGTATTAAGAAATAGAACAAAAAAGAAAACAAGAAGCAAGAGATCTTTTCCACAAGATTCACAAAATCAAAGGGAAACTTAAACTAAATAATCTGAATAATAGTTCTGATGAATTTAAAATCTATGTACAGAACAGATTTGCAGTGCTAAACTCAGTTGACTACAAACCACGAGAACTGGTTTGATACCAGAGATATAAACAAGGAAGAATGCAAAAAGACTTCCTACACTCAAAAGAAAATGAAAGCTTTGGTGGATGACTGATATAGCTCTTAATATTGTTAACAACAGAGAAGAAGCAAACATAAAAGGTGATAGATATATGGTTAGAATCCTAAATGTAACTTTTCAGAGACTAATGCATAGGGACAAGGAGAATTTTTACAATAATTGGTATTAAGAAATAGAACAACAAAAAGAAAAGCAAGAAGCAAGAGATCTTTTCCACAAGATTCACAAAATCAAAGGGAAACTTAAACTAAAAGTAGCCATGCTGAGAGATCAATGGGAATATATTATCCAAACAAGATAAAACAAAAAGAGCATACTGACGAGCCATACAGAATAGATTCAGAGATGACAGATTCCTTCTAAGAAGAATCTTGTGAAAAACCTGAGATTTTAAAAAGTAAAGTGAAAGCTCCTCTCAAAGCATTTGGTAGAAATTAATTACCAAGAGTATATGGTTGTTGTTGTTGTTTAGTTGTTAAATCGTGTCTGACTCTTCGTGACCCCATGGACCAGAGCACATCAGGCCCTCCTGTCTTCTACTGCCTCCCGGAGTTTGGTCAAGAGTATATGGTAGAGGTTCCCAAAGTGTGCTCTGTAGTACCCACTACTTGAGTAAATGTGAATATGGAGAAACAGAATAGTTCCTAACTGGTAAAGGTGTCAGATAGGGATGTATTTTATCTCCCTGCCAGTTTGATCTGTATACAGAGCATACAATATGAAAAGATGGGTTAGATTCAGATGAAGGATGATTGGAAATCATTAGAAGAAACATCAGTAATTTAAGATATGCAGATAATAATCATGTTGGTGGCAGAAAGTAGAAATTATTTGAACCTTCTACTGAAAAAGGTTAAAGAGTCATAACTACAGAAGATTTTAATCACTTTTATGTTGACATTGAAAACAAGGAAGTAAATCTTTTTTCTATATCTTGATTAAATCATTGTTCCAGATGGCGACTGCAACTAAGAAGATGGAAATTTGGAACAGAGATTATGAACTAGAAAAGATCCTTAAAAGTAAAGTGTTGCTGGAGATCAAGTCCATTTCATCCATACTTTGAAAATTGTGTCTGACTCTTCGTGACCCCATGGACCAGAGCACACAAGGCCCTCCTGTCTTCCACTGCCTCCTGGAGTTTGGTCAAGAGTATATGGTAGAAGTTCCCATAGTGTGCTCTGTAGTACCCGCTACTTGAGTACATGTGAATATGGAGAAACAGAATAGTTCCCCACTAGTAAAGGTGTCAGATAGGGATGCATTTTATCTCCCTGCCAGTTTGATCTGTATACAGAGCATACAATATGAAAAGGAGGGTTAGATTCAGATGAAGGATGATTGAAAATCATTAGAAGAAATATCAGTAATTTAAAATATGCAGATAATAACCATGTTGGCGGTAGAAAGTAGCGATTATTTGAAACTGCTACTGAAAAAGGTTAAAGAGTCATAACTACAGAAGATTTTAATCACTTTTATGTTGACATTGAAAACAAGGAAGTAAACCTTTTTCTATATCTTGATTAAATCATTGTTCCAGATGGCGACTGCAACTAAGAAGATGGAAATTTGGAACAGAGATTATGAACTAGAAAAGATCCTTAAAAGTAAAGTGTTGCTGGAGACCAAGTCCATTTCATCCATACTTTGATATATCTGACTATGATACTTGGACAGTGAAAAAAGCTTACCAAAAAAAGGGAGTTTCACTTCAAATCAAGGAGAGCTTTACTGATATCAAGGACTACCAGAAAATTAAACCAATGTGTACTAGCTCGAATCAGACCAGATTTCCTCTAGGTAATAAAATTACTAAACTGAGGCTATTGTACTTCAGACATTTTAAACCAATGTGTACTACTAACTCAAATCAGACCAGATTTCTTCTAGGTAATAAAATGACTAAACTGAGGCTATTGTACTTCAGACATACAATGAGAAAAGAAGATTCACTAGAAGAGACAGTAATACTAGGGAAATGGAAGGTAGTAAGAAAATGCAGTGCCATGACTGCAAAGGCAGAATTTTTTCAAGTTCTTGCTAATGTTCAAACTTGTTTCACTCTGTAATGTGGAAATCCTGAGAAATTTGTTGGACTCTGTGAGAGAAAGTGTGCTAGCACAAGAGGCAACATTCTGAATGAGCAATTGCTGCTCTAAGTCCTTTTGTAGGACAGAGGGAGCAACGCCAGCCCTACCTCAAAGCAGAAATCACCACTCACTTGCATGCCCTTGCCATTATAGAGGATTTCCAAGAACTTCCAAGTTGTAGTTGCTGCAGGCCCCTTTCTGCATAGAGTGCAAGGTAGGGGTATGCAAATATGTGTGGCCCTCATCTCTTTCTCCTTCACTTTCCTGTCCTTATCTTTTGAAAAAAGTCATATCATATATATCAAATCATACCATATACCAGGTGGTTCATGCTGCTGAAATCTAATGCTTTCAAAAACATGGATTATATAACCATGTAATAAAGTGAAGTATAACATACACTTAATGCCTTTTCTCCACAGATAAAGGGGAGCTCTTTGTTCCCTCTCCCAGTTATTTTGAAGTTGTCTACCTTAATCCAGATAAACCTGCAGTGATTCCTTGTCGAGTGACAAGCCCCTCAGCAAAAGTAACTCTTCACCAGGAGTTTCCAGCAGAAGAAATAAAAGTAGATGGAATCAACATTATGTATGACACGAAGAGAGGCTTTGTTTATCAGCACCCAACTTCTGATCACAAAGGAGTGGTATACTGCAGAGCTGAATCACGTGGAGATCCTCAGATTTCAATTAAATACCAGTTGCTTTATGTGGAAGGTAAACAAGCTGTTAGTAATTTAAGGGTCAAATTAGACAACCGTTGTTCCCTCAAGTGATAAAAGATGTCTTCTTGTGTATAGCATACATTGTCACTTACTTTGAATTAAGCATGCACAGACTTAATTTTTTGAGGCACATATCCCTGAGGTGATCCTGTTGTAAGCAGAAAAAGAGGCTAATTGTAGGGCATCTGTAATTCTCTTTGATACCTAGTTTCTGCTTTGGTGAACTGTTGATAATTGTTTTGCTCAGAAACTAGTGAAAATTGGCCTGTTCAGGTGAAACTGGAAACAATGAAGTTATGTACAGTATTTATAGTGAATGCCTAGCTAAGCATTTTGCCATGAGAAAAATGACCAGCATAATTAGAGCAGTTACATCAGTACACTTTCAGTGAGCTCAAGGAACTGTTTTGGGAGCTAAAATGCTTCAGAGACTAGTTCTGTTGATCTGTAGAATCTCGTATTAAGTTGGGGACCTTTTTCTGTCTCAGAACTTAAGAATTCTGCACATTGTAAGAAGTAGAGAGAGATACACACCTTAGGTGAAATCCTCTTCCATAAATTATGCCTTGTAAGGCTGATGATGTCATCAACTGCTGCAGCAGTTTTTCAGAAATAAAACATCCCTGATGTCCATGCTCCCTGAAAGGTCCCAAAGCTTCCATGGAATCCTCTTTGTTGTCAGGAAGCTGTTGAAGGAACAAGCTGGGGGGGTGTCTTTAGTTTTCTGAAATTTCCTGTCAGCAGGATGACTTTACTGGCAGTGATTATTTTTGGTAATTAAAGATCCTCACTTTCCTGTGGCCCCTAGTGGCTTCCGTGCGATAAAAGGGATTCCTGAGGAGCCTCAGGACATTCTGGGAAGAAATTCAAGGAAATTTTATTTCTGAAAAATTACATGACTGATGACATCGTTATTCTTATGTGGTGTGAACAGCGGTTCAGCTATAGGTAGATAGATATAGATGTCTATGTGGTCCATGAACAAACTTCAAAACTCAGATTGGATAATACTTTACAGGATCAAAAATTAATGATCAAAACATGAGTTTTCAAGTCCATCAGTCCATTGTGGAACTTGAGAAACAGAGAAGAATAGGAAAGTCCAAAAATCAAATGGACTAAATATTTAAGTCACATGATTTGAAGTTAAACCAAACTTCCGAGATAGAGACTACAAACTTGGAAGAATCTGAATGACATATAAGGATATCAGGTTTCATGTCAGAGGGTATTGGGTATCAGTTGTTTATTTCTGTCTGTGTAGACAAAGAGCAGCCAATCACTCAGTGTGGTTTTCATTGCCCTTTGTCAAAGCACATGGTTCCTGTCTTTGGTTGGGAGCAGAAATGCCAAGAAATATGGAAATTTCCATATAAAAAGGGAGAAATTAATTTTATTTGGCAATAATTATGTGCTATCAGGTCAGTTCTGACTTAGGTTCTGTCAGTTCTGACCCTTTCCAGGGAATTCTAATTAAAGAATACAAAAAAGTGATTTATAAGTCAACAGACATCAAATTATGAGTATTATGTAATGGGTAGAGGCAAATGGTATCCTCAGAGTTCTTCTGTAGTGGTGGTAAATCTTACTTTGGTTGAAATATTTTCTATGGCACAACAAAAAAGAAAAAGAAGGGGGGGAAAACCACAGCCATATGCTCCATAAACACAATCCAGATAGAGACTACAGACTTGGAAGAATCTGAATGTTTATACCTTTATTTGGCCACCAATGTTTTTTATCAAAAGAAAAGATCTCAATACTCTTCATCAGGGCAGGAATTGCCAATCTGAGGTTGGTGGGAGAAACAGAAAGCCAATTTACTGGAACTGTTAGTATTGAAAGAATGACTTGTCCTTTCTGTTTCTCAGAGCGCTGTATCAGGTGCATAAAAATCAACCACGTTTAGAATAGTTTTGCATTTTTGAAATGACCTGAACTTTAAGAGTTTTAAAAGGGATGTCTTTTTTGTTAAGAACAAATCACAGACTGATTAGTTTACTAGTGTATGTTTGAAAATTTAAAAAGTTAGTCTCGTGAGACAAGAAGGGACAAGACTGAAGTAGAGTTACGACTTGACTTATTGGTAAGCATAAGTCTCAGGACAGTGACAGAGCTGGTTTCACCCCAGGGCCAAAGGGCCTCTTGCAAACTCTCCCTTTATATTCTGTGCTTTAATTATTTACTATGTGCTGAGTTATCACAGCATGGCATTAAAGATAAAAGTATAATATGATATCTGTGTCCAAATCTATACTGCAGCAACAATTGTGACACTGTGTACAATTCTGGTTGCCACATCTTTAAAAAGATTGAAAGGAAAAGTTGCAGAACAATGACTGGATGATCAAGGAAAACAATTACAGAAGAGTAAAACTAATATTGAAATATCAGTTTAAAATGAAAAGGACAACATATATGTTATGAAATGGTGAAGTATGTTACATAATAGTCATGAACAAGATTTAGCCAGTTCACACGATGCAGTCGTAATTAATGTAGTTACATAACCAGATGTACTTTCTTATTACAAACTACATATACATGTATGTTGGTCAAACTACCACAGTCTGGAGAAGTTATACAGAACACTGAAAACCTAATATTTCTCCATGCAGATGCTATTGCTCCTATTTGCCGTGTTTTATCAGCATGTCCAGAATGAAGGAAGTCATTACAAAACATAGGAGTGCTTTTCCCCATAAATCTTGCAAAGCTGTCAATGTTGTAATTACAAAAATATCCTTTATATTCTTTAGTACTGTGTATCTTGGTCTTCTGGTGCTCTTAAGTTTCTGATTCAAATGTTTTGATGGAGTTTGTGATGTCTCTTGCATTCTGCATTTATAGTGTCAAATTCCAAGTTCTGAGAATTTTCCTCTCATTGTCTGTAGGCATTTAAATATCACTGAATGTGATTTTAGGGCTCAAAGCATATGTAGTGTGCAGGCAAAATAACAAGTGGGTCATTGTGTGTGTGTTATGCTCACAAACCAATAATCCTGCTGCCAAAATTCCTATAGATGCTGCTCTAATGTGAAGAAATTAAACCCACATCTGTGGTATCAAAGTAACAGTTACTTTGCATTCCTATTTTTACTAGCCATGTATACATTGTATATAAATAATCAGAGGAAGTGCACTGTGTGTCCATGAAAGCTAATGCTGTTATAATCCTTTTAGCCTTAATAGTGCTACATGACTGTCATTTTACTAAAAATTAAATTGGACAATTTGTTTCATTTTATCTCATACGTACTTTCTAACTAGTTCCTAGCGGCCCACCTTCAACTACTATCAAAGCATCGTCCAATAAAGCAGAAGGTGGAGAGGATGTCAGCGTTCTGTGCACAGTTTTGGGGGAGCCAGATGTGGAAGTGGAGTTTAATTGGATATACCCAGGCCAAGAAGTAAGTTGTTGCTGATTATTCTCTAAAACAAAATTAGCACATTATGTATAATATAAAACATTAGCTCTAGAGTGGACCTCTGAAAAGTGGGATTAAAAGAGGTTATAAACTGCATACATAACTGCAGATACCTAAGGAAAGGGCTGCTAGAGAGCTACCTAGAAAAACAGGCAGATAGTAGCATTAAATGCAAAAATATTACGTTTAGCACTAAAAAAAAGATTAGGATTTTTTGAGAATGTTTTATAGTTAGGAACCCCACCTGCTTTGTCTGTCTTCCCATTCTTTTCCAATAGGTAAAAATGCAGAATGCTGTTGTATAAAATATTTTACCCATTTTAATCACATCATACACTGAAATGTCACAGATACTGTATGTATTAAGAGCTGTACACATTCAAAGCTGCAGAATTTCTTCTTGTGAGTGCAGAGCACTTTGAAGCATTTTTTCTTAGATTTCATGCATTCTGGTTTTTAGATACACTTGTAAAAACAGAGTCTTTCCCGGATGAAGCACCTACATATCATTATTTATTTATTTTATTTTAATGGATTTCTACCACACCCATCTAGACCAAAGGTCTACGCTGGGCAGCATTACAAATTTAAAAACAGTTAAAACAATGAACATGTACTGTAAATCCAAGATGACAAAATGTGAATTTTGGATACGGCATGAGGGAAAGCCTGCCCAAATAGCCAGGTCTAGACTTTACTTCTAAAGACACCCAGAGAGGGAGCCAGGCGGATCTCCATGGGCAAGTTGTTCCAGAGGTGAGGGGCCACTGCCGAGAAGGCCCGGTTCCTCGTTCTTTCCTTCTGGACCTCCCTCAGTGTTAGGCCCCTCAGCCACCCGACCTGGCTGGAACAATTGACTCTGGTAGAACTTGGTGGGAGAAGACACCCTGCCAGATATCGAGGTCCTAAACCATTTAGGGCTTTGTATGTCATCGTTAAGACTTTGAAATCAACATTGAAGGGCATGGGCAGCCAAAGCAAGGCAGCCAGCATGGGAGAAATATGTTGGTACCTTTTCACCCCTGTAAGAAGTCTGGCTACCGTATTCATCTCTTTATACTGTCTGAATTTACAGACATTGTTCATAGTTTTGTGTATGAAGTGTTCATGAGTGGCATTTCATTAAGTGAATATAAATAAAGCATTTTATGACAGAAATACAATATTCCCAAAGTCATAACTACATTTTATTTTGCAGTTGAGGTAGGTTTAGTGATTCTAAGTGTACCACATATTCCTGTAAGCAGTTTAACAGTTGTGGCTATATTTTATGCTAATTCTACAATTCCATGTGGACTAGCAACATTCAGCTCAAGAGATCAACATTTTTAAAATGTGTATATTTAGGAAAACGTAGTTTTCAGGCTGACCTGAATGGTGATGTCAGCATCACCATTAGATGTAAAAGCAATATTAAAAACACATTAAAAACAACAGAAATACAATACTCCTTTAAAAAAAACACAACCCCTTAGACAAATAGTCATTTAAAAGGAAGCCTGCCTGAAAAGAAAGATCTTTGTCTCTTTGTGGAAGGTCAGCAAAGATGAAGTCAGTCTGGCCTCCCATGGGAGGGGGTACCAGAGCCTGGGAGCAGCAACAGAGAAGGCCTTCTCCCTCCTGCGAAGGACTGCGAGAAAGGCCTCCCCTGAAGATCTTAAAGCCCAGGCAGGCTCCTAAAGGAGAATTTCAGTTTTTAAGATAGCTTGGACCCAAGGCATTTAGGGCTTTATAAGTTAAAACTGGTACTTTTGAGTTGTGGCTGGAAATGCACCAGCAGCCAGTCCTATATGTTTTCAGTTAACAGGTAAAATAAGTTTACTGAAATAAAATATTACATACGTAATTGTTCACTATTAATATTTTATGTGTTGTTGTTTTTTAAATTCAGTATGAAAGGCCTGTGCTTATGCAAGACTCTTGGAGGCTGATCAACAGAGGAATTGGTCATACCACGCGAATCTCAGAAAGCATTATTACTATTGAAGATTTTGAGACGATTGATGCTGGAAATTACATTTGTATAGCCCAGAATCTTCGAGGACAGACCACAGTGGCTACACACATTGAACTGATCTAGTGGATCGAGCTCTCAGGAGAGAGAAGCAGAACAAGCAAAGGACTGGACTGCTTTTGACAAACTTTCAGTGAAGAACTGTAAGTGAGTAGGGGAAAATATTAATCTATTAGTTTAATCTCATATAGTAAGAGAAATGAAAGGGAATGATTGACAGCAAATGTTCAGTGTCCAAATTTGGAACCCAGAAGCTCCCTAGTTCACACCTTGTATCTACCATGACTTTATTAGATAGACTTAGGGAAGTCACATCTTTCCTCTGCCGTTCCCTCCTCCTGCCTGTGCTCATTTTCGAAATGTATAGCCCTGCCTATGTTGTAAAGATTGCCATGATGCTATCTTTATCCATTTTGAGTACTAAATGTTCTAGTGCTCTTTCAAACAGTAATACACATTTAAAGTGTTTATTTCTCATGCACATTCTTAATGGTACAAGTTCCTAAAAAATTAAACTAGACAAGTTGATTGAAAGACATACCATCTTTTAGTCTTCTTGTTTATCTAGCTGTGCATATAGGAAAAATAATGGCCATTGTTAACAGTTACCAAGAAAATTCCATGGATCTTGGTAAATTGGAGTGTTATTCTACTTTGCAAAATTTTATTTTCTTTCTTTTCTATTAATGAGGCACTAGTATATAAGTGCTTCTGTGTTTAGTGTTGAAAACACAACATATGTGTTACCCTAAATATGTTACACATTAAACAAAACATTTTGCAAGTTCTATGTATTTGCTGTTTATGGAATTTCTTCTATTTGTATGTTGGTTGGAGAATGGCATTATTTACTCTTTAGTAGTTTCAGCGGGAGAAGTACTCCTTTTTAAAGGCTGAACAGAAGGTCTTTTACTGATTATTAGTTTTAAGAAAATTTGAATTCAGAAGGAACTTAAACTAGCTTCATTTAAATATATGTGTTTGGGATCATTGTGCCTCAGACTGTTAGCTGGCTCAGTCTGGGGAAAAGAAGTTCATAGCTTTATTCTTCTTATACCTTTTTGTTAATGGTAATTTGCAGAAATTACTTCTTGCTGTGTCCTTTGTTCTGACATTCCTGTCCACATACAGCAGAGGCAAGAGCAGTGTTGCCTCATAACACTGCCACGTCCCCATCCCTGTCTGTGTCCACCTACCTGCCTATGTCCCTGCCCTGTTCTCCACCTTTTTTAAAATCCCTCCTCCCTCCATGTCTCCCATGGTATCTCTTACCACATCCTTCTCCGCAAAACAGGCACCAAACATTTGAGTTGGGAGATCAAGAATATACCAATCCTTAAAGCACTTTTCAAGTCTGTCATTATCTCTAAGGTGATGCTGATGATCATAGGATCCCTACTTGCTTTGTGTTCATTCCTTCATGTTGTACCAACTCCTTCAGCTTCTAGGAATATTTTCTCATTAGAAACTTCTTATTTCCTTCACTTTTTTCAGCTTGTCCTTTGGTGACATGTTAAGAATATTTTTACACATTATGGTGATAGTTGATTTTTGCTTGAATTGGATTGGACTGGAGTCCAATGAGGGGAGGGGGGGAATTTCACCAAAAATTAACTAAGAGTCAGAACAAAGCCAAATTAAGTTTGCAAAGGTTTTACAAGGTGCACTAACGATCCCAAGCATTAAAAACAGCTTTTGAATATTTTAAGACACACTTAAAATAGCAAAAACGGACATCGCTAAGCAAAACAGGGGGACCTAAACTGTCATCGCTAAGCGAGGCAAGGTCCCGAACATCGCTATGCGAAATTTCCCCATAGGGAACATCGCTAAACGGAGTGCAAAATCACTCCAAAAACCTCATCGCTAAGCGAATACATCATTAAACGAGGCAATCGCTAAGCGAGGCACCACTGTATTTTCTGAGAACCCTACCCTGAGCATGGGAGGGGTAAGAGATACAAGGTGGCAGGGGTTTTAGAGCTCGGAAAAGTGACATCTTTTGGACTACAACTGCCAGAATCCCCATTGGCTATGCTGCCTGGGGAATTCTGAGAATTACAGCTCAAAAAAGAAACTTTTTAAAACTCTGGAATTACAGTACCTTTCTGTGCACAGCCTCGCAGACATGCTCTTGATTCAGCTATATATAATTTGTGTATAACATCTATATTGAGTAGATGGGGATAATGAAACCCTGGGGGACACTTACCCACCCAAGTTGCTATGCATATTTAGTCATGTAGTAAATAGTCACAGTTACCATAAAATTGCTAACCTTCCTCATGGAACTTGCAGCAGCTTCAGGGCATGATTTTGCTAAACCTGGAAAACTTTTTGAATCACTACCACAATTCCCCAGCTGCCGTGGCCATTGGGAAATCCTGGGAACTAAAGTCTAAAACCTAATTTTTCCAAATGGATTTTTCCAAATGGTATGAGAGTTCTGTGTACTTTGAACTGAATCCTTATTCTCCCACTCTCTTCTGACCTTTGGTGATTTTAAAGGAGTCATTCTATTTAAATGACACATCAGGTACAGTTTTGCTGTGAATATCCTGTCTTGGAAATATTAAAACTAGTCAGATCCTGATTAGGCATAAATCATCTAAGCCTCTCCCCCCCTCCTCCCCCATTGTTTAATTGGAGCCACACCTCATTAGAGCTTAGTACTAGAACTGATTGTGCATCAGAATGTTCAGTCTCAGTACTCATAGACTAGAGTTTTCGTTGGGAGACTTCCCCTATCCAAAATCTCCACTTATTGTTTGTTAAATTTGTATACCGCCCAATTAGTGCGAAAGCACTACTCTGAGTTGTTTCCGATTAACTAAAACAATAAATGTGAATAAAAACAATAAAATAACAGTCAAAATATCCAGGGATGGAAATATAAAATGAAAAACAGCATAGGCATGTTATCATAGAGAGCATCCGGAAGAGCTGTACATGAACTCTCTGGCTTCCAGCAAATATTATTTTCTGCAGAATAAACTGGGAAAATTCTGGTATAGTCTAAAGTTGTGAAACTGTCTACACAACCAATCTGACATTCATGTTTATACAATCAACAAAACACATCAAGTCTTCAGTTATTAGGACAGCTATATTAAGTCTTCTAGATTCATGTACTGGCAGCACTACAGGTCAGTGATTTTCCATCCCGCTTTATTTGGAATAATAAATTAGTACAGTGGTGCCTCGACTTACGACCATACTCCATTCCAGAAGATGGATGTAACTCAAAATGGTTGTAAGTCGAAGCACCATTTCCCATAGGAATGCATTGAAATTCAATTAATCCGTTCTGGCTAAAGAAAAAAATCACTGCAAGATTCATTGGAAACACGATTAATCCCTTCCAGCTGAAGGGGGGAGGGGAAGAAAAGCAATCAAGCATGCAAGACCCATTGGAAATGCACAGAAAACAAATGGAGCAGATTGGAAATGCACAGAGAACAAAGGGGGGCAGGTCAGAAACGCAAAGAAAACAAAGCAAGGGAAGCATGCAAGACCATCGGAAATGGGGGAAACCCCCCAAAGCAACCAAACCCCCCAAGACCCATCGGAAATGGGGGGAAAGCCAAAAAACAAACAAACCCTCAAGACGGAAATGGGAAAAACCCCAAAAAGCAACCAAACCCCCCAAGCCCCATCGGAAATGGGGGAAAAAAACCAAACAAACCCCCCAAGACCCATCACAGCACAGAAAAAAAATCCCCCAGCTCAAAACCACACTGCAAAAACACCCAGAACAGTTTTTAAAAAGCAGAAAACAGCACCTCACCTTACAAGGCAACCCGAAGCCTCCCTGCAAACACACACACATGCTCTCAGAAGCAGGAGGAGGAAGTCCCAAGCCTCTGACGATGCACACTCTCTAACTATTGGGGCAAAATAACTACAAAGCAGCCTCGTCGTCACCTACAGTAGGACCCCCATATCCGCGGGATCAGTATCCGTGATTTCACTTATCCACAGTCTGAAAACGCTTAAAATACTAAAAGATCCAGAAAAAAATATTTTCATTTTTATTACCATAACAGGCCATCAAATGGAACCAGAGACAGTGCTATAAATACTTGTCAGTGAAGAATACATAGCATGGTCCCTGATGAACTCTGGTGGCCAGTTCTGGCAATGGGGAGGTCCTACTGTATTTAAGGAAGCCTTTAACCCTCGTAGAAATGAAAACAAAGGACAAAGTGCCTCAACCATCAGTATTCCTGTTCTTTTTTAGGCAATTAGCTTGGGCACACAGTATTTCCATTTGAAGGTTTCTATTTGAAGGGCTGTTCAGTCCAGTTCTTGTTTAAAGGGAAAGAAATATAAGGAGGGAGACCAGAGGAATTGCAGTTCCCTGTCCATCACTAGTACTGAGTGGGTCACCAGCTTTCCCACTCAATTTAGGTGCTCTGTAATTCTGTTTAAATTACAAAAATCATCTCCAGTTTTGTATCCTTATATATAAATTGGATACTCAATGTGGTGTAGTGCAGTGGTCCCCAACCTTTTTGCCTCCATGGACCAGTTTAGCGTGCAGGCGGGGGGGGCATCTGTGTGGGTGTGGGAGGGGCCATGTGTGTGTGGGGAGGGACTGTGTGTGTGTGAGGGGCCATGGGAGGGGCTGTGCGTGCATCAGAGGGGCCATGCATGCATGGGAGGGGCATGCACGCATCTGTGTGGGAGCGGCGGGGAGACATTTGTCTCCGTGGCACATTCCCAGCAAGACCACAGACTGGGACTGGTCCACGGACCGGGGGTTGGGGGACCCCTGGTGTAGTGGATAAAGTGACAGATTTTGTAATGGTAGTGGGAAACCTGTTTCAGGCTGAGGTCTGGACTGGCTCATTACACTTGGGGGGGGGGGGTTGCACGTCAATATAAGCTCCTTCAAACATTTGTGTACTGAGGGCTTTCTCACCATTCCTGATTGGGGACAGAGAGGAGAGGGGTGGGCGAAGCAGGCTTAGCCAGACAATTCACTATCAGTCTTGAGGTAGTGGTTTCACAGTTCACGGCTGTTAAAGCGTCCTCGATGCCTCAGGAAGTAGCTCATTAAAATAGTCAGCCAGAAAAGTAAGAGAAGAGGATAGGTTTACCTTTGACACAACAGTTGAAAGTACCATCGAGTGTCTGTTGCCAAAAATATGCTAAGCCAAGTGGCCAAGACCAGGTCAAAAGGCAATCTCCCACTCCTTATCCCTCATCCAGGTGGGGAAGCTGCAGGGAGGGAAAGGGCTTTGGGGAGGTGGATAATTTAGCTGTGACTTTCATGGGCCAAATGAAGTGACCAGGAAGGCTGCATACAGTCAGTGGAATAGAGATTCACCATATCTGATCACCTTTGTTTTTCAGTAGTTTTTCATTCCTGCAGAAGTTACATTTAGTTTTGATACCAAAGATGGGCCTTGTAGCACCTTAAACACTGATTGTTGTTGTTGTTTTATTTTTATTATTCTAAAAGTTTCACAGACACTGCCCACTTTATCAGATATTTTGATAATTACATGCTTTTTAATTCACTGGTGATCTGAAAATGTAGATAAAGAACTGTTTCTCTTACAAGTCTGTAAATGAAGCAAAGCAAAAAGCGTGTTGCTTATATACCGCCCCATAGTGCTTAAAACACTCTCTGGGCGGTTTACAAGTTTACAAGCGGGAGGCATATATCGTTACCTACCTCAAAGCAATTGTGTACAGCTTCAGATAGCCTTACTTGGAACTCATTTTGCTACCAACTATGCTGGAAAAGAGAGTGGGATGTTGTTTAAGGACAGTATCTTACCTTGTCAGCATTGGCCAAGGGTTCACATTCACTTTGGATGAAGCCCACTATGAGGCCAAAGCTGCACATATCAGAGGCATTCAGATGAATAATTTCTTGTCTGAAGGGCATCAGGGATATATGATTGACCAGTATGGGAAACAGGAAGCTAAAAAAGACAGGCCTTCTAAAAAAATTCCCCCACAAATGTGCTTTCCCAGAGCTATGATCAGGCACAATCTCCATTTAGTTGTTTATAAACCGAGATAAATGTCCTAGGTATTATTATTTGCTTATTAAATTAGGCAACTCTTTCAAAAGGCTCAAGGTAATTTGAAGTTGTATGAAATAAATAAATAAAAGTTTCTTGTATTATACTGAATACTGAAAAGCAACAGGACCCATAAAACTATTAAAACATCACTATGAACCATAGGCAGCACAACTCAACTGATACACTGAGTAACCCTCTCCCACAAGATCATTCGCCGAGGTGCCTCCTATAGAAGAGGTAGGGCCTTCTTCATGGTGGCTCCAATTTTATGGAACCTGCCTCCAGAGAAACTCCACCTAGCCCCCTCCCAGTTGACATTTAGGAAACAATTAAAGACAATGCTTTTCAGGGAGGCTTTCCACACTGACCCCACCTTCCCCCTCTTTTTCTTTCCTTTCCTCTTCTTCCCTCCCCTCCTCCCTGGCCGCTCTGGGTTTATATGATTAGTCAGTGCCATCTATTGTTTTTTAGGGTTATTGTTGCTGGTTTTAATGTTTCTATTTTTATTTTTGCTTTCTATTATATGTGTTGTAACTCGCTCAGACTAGTGCCATGACATGAATTAATGGGAGTGGGATAAAAATTAAATAAATAAAAAATATCATCAAATGCAGCAAAATACTTAAAAGCAGGCAAGAAGTCTTGCATTTCTGCTGAAAGTATGACAGTGTTGGCACCAGACAGTCCTTGCAGTCTGTGCCAGGCTAGCATAGCACAGCCTGGTGGCTGGGCACCAACACCAAGCAGCACTTAGACACAATCCGCAGTAACCAGGTCAGAAACTAGTGAGTGATGGAGTACCTCATATGGAGTAGTAAAACCTGACAGGCCTGGGTGCCCAGTGCTCAGTGCCTCTTGGATGAATTGTTGTGGAGATGCCCTCTCCAATGCTGGCACCTCTTGCACAGGTCCAGACCTCATTGGCCATTGGCTTGAGCCACATGATCCAGACCATGCTCTCCCTTGGATCTGAGGTCGGAAGTCTTGCCTATGTATCGGCTGCAAAATAGGCACCTAGTAGCTCTCAAACTCTCCTAAAGCACTGTTTATGGGGAAGGCGAACCCAGGACTACACCAAATAGTGCGGATGAGGACTACCACAACTCTCATGCTACTATTAGAGATGGGGTCCACCATAGGAGGTGGAAACTATTAATATGGCAATGGATGTGCTGGCAAAGGACCACCTGTAGAAGATGGGCTCCAGCCAGTTAACCATGCAAGGAGGCATTGTTCAGTGAAAAGGGAGCAGCAGTTCCCTTGAGGATGCACAACATTCCCAACTGGTATGGATTCAGAGCAGGAGTCCATACATGCAATACGAACGGACCAGGGTACACTGGCCAGTCCTGAGCTGGCCCTACCATGGCATCATTGCATGGATGTTGGGGACCAGCAACCTTATGAATGCATGACCAACACCAGCACTACAGTGTACAGTCTGAGGCATCCTAGGGGGCCAATGGTCTGCCACTGCCATTGAGATGTATTAATCAATGGTCTGCCACTGCAGCCCATCCTGCACAGGTATTAGCATAATCCCAGTGTACATAGAGACAAGCACTGGTCAGCAAGCCCTGCTGCTGTACCAGGGGACTGTTTGACAACCATCTGCAAGTCATGATGATCCATCACACAATTTCCTCTTGCCACAGTCTGCCCCCTGGCCCCTACATCCTCACCACTGCTAGGGGATGATACTTGGGGCCACATCCATACAGTGGATTACTTGGTGGTATGAGAGTGGTTTTTGGCACTGATGGCATCATTGGGTGGTAGTGGTGAATAGGAGGCTCTTGGAATGCGTAGCACTGCTTGGGGTGCTGTGGCTACACCCATATGGTTATCTTCCAGTTTTATACATATGATCTCCAATTGAAACACTACCAAAATAACAAGGGAATGACTGCAGAAGCAGCAACACATCACTTCTGTAACATAAAACTGGTCAAACAATTCAGTGCTGGGAGAGAGGGATGCAAACTGAAATCTAGCACAACACCCAACAATTGGTAGAAATTAATACTCGAAGCTGGAGCTCCTCTTTCTTTCATAAATATTCCTCTGTGGCATTAGATAATAACCAGAAAAATAAACATTGTTATTTTGGGTAAGAAAATTCTTTGTGTTTTTCCAAGATACCAAAAGATACAGATTTTACAAGATTTAATAACACTATTTAAAAGCACATTCACTATTATCAATAATTGTAAGTGCATCCTCAAATTTGTCACATGCCACTTCTGTCTATATAAAAAGCTCAAAAGTTAGATGTAACATTTCTTATAGGTGTATAAAGCTAATAAAATAGAGTATTTTGGATTCATAGCACTAGCACTTAAATATTGTACTTTTATTCTTAATCAGGTATCAGCCTCAAAGCAGTAAAAAAATTATTTCCATTTTCAACACACAAGTACATATGATCAAAAATGACGTAAAAGAAGTAAATTGCTCCAAGACGTATTTTTAAAGCCAGTTTTCAGCCTACGGCAGATGTTCATAGATATATTAATCAAATTTCTGGACAACAGCTTATTCAGAAGTGCTGATATCTCTAGTTAACAGTGGTGCATACAGTGCCATAAAGGGATGGTGACAAGTAAAATATGAGGGGACACACACTTTATACAATGTAAACTTAAAATCTTATATTTCATATTATGGAGTATACAGTAATATGCTTCCATAATAACAGAATAACTAAAACTTTCATCATTTAGAGGCAAGATTTTTGCATCCTAGACATAACATTTGGTTTGACGTTTAATTTCCAAGGTTTATTGAAGAATTTTTCCCAAGCCCCTCCTCCTTCTCCAGTTTTAAGGAAGGAGCCAGGACATTATTAACTCGTCTTGCACTTATCCAATAAATTTGTACAAATAAGATGTCCCACCATAGCCAAGGTTTTGCCCTACTGAGTTTTAAAAAACAGCATATTTGTAAGAAATTCAAACTTGCAATCACTTTCACTCTTAGCAGCTGTTTATCTTAAACTGTAATATATCATTGGAAAGCCTGTTTAGGTTACCATATAACAGAGTTAATTCCGCCACTCCCATCTCACCTTTTGCCTTAACCTGTTTCAAAATTTATTTAGGCTCTCCACTTATAAAACAACTGCAGTAGAATGAGCTGCTCCTGTCAAGCTATTGTTTTGTCCTAAGCAGTTCCCAACTTTGTTTATGGTATCCGCTAAATCTATGTATAGAAGAACTATTCTCTCCTTACATTTGTTATTGTTTCATCCTACCTTGTGTGTTTAAAATACCCACTTAGACAATTACTACAGCAGAATTAATTTAGGTCACTTACTAATACAATGACTATTCCAGGATTAATCTCCTGCTTTGCTATAGTTTCACCTTAACTTGCTACTGTTTTGCCTTACTCTCTTCTTATTTTGCCCTTAACTGTTTATTTAGACTACCCACTTGGACAATAACTACTGCATAGTTCCCCCCCCCCCACCTGGTCTTCACAACTAATGTTTTGCTCTAAACCCTTAAATGTTTGTTAGGCAGCTCCTTTAAATTACAATAGCAGAAGTAGTTTCCTTGTCCTATTAATATTTCGTCCTTTTTCAACATTTGTTTAGATATCCCATGTAACAATATATTACAGTTGAACCCATTAATTCTGCTGCTCACACAGAAAGGGGTTGCATGTCTGAATCTTCCATAACCATGTTTTTTTTTTTTTGAAAGCCAAGGGAAAACCATACTTATAGGGAGAAATCTAATTCCAAGACAGTCATTTTATAAGTTGGTATCCTAAACAAAATTTGAACAATATATTATGGTGTTAGACATAATCAGCCTCATTATAAAATACAGTATGAAATAGGTAGATGAAGGCAAAATCAAACAAAAATAGCATCTCCTTTCTTTTACTAAACTGAAATACAGAGATAAGGAAGAATGCATAGCACACGTGGCAGCTTGTCCTTTGTCCCAATGAAGGGCAAAACCTTTATTAAAACATGCATAATGACAATATTTTATTCATGAAGTACATGTCACTATGTACTTCAACGTTCATCCTTTAGAATATACATGGCCAAGGCAGCGGCATCAGACACACATTCTGTGTGCTACATCCAATCCACTCATAACCCACACCCAGCGTCTCTAGAAGGTGTCTATAATAAGGAACATATTAAAGGTTGTGATCTTTTATTTATAAGCCCCTGAGCAGTTTTCCCCCTAGAGTTAGGTAAAAAAAAGGCAAAAATGAACAAGACTATCCTTGCTCTTTTAAGTGCTTTGTGCAACAATGTTCAGAGAAGTTACTATCAAAGTCTTTTTTTAAAAAAAACTCTATAAAAAAAACCAAACATCAGAATCGTACTCCTGAAGTTTCAGTATATTACAGTTACTTCTCACAACAGTAGTTTCCAGTTATATTTCAGTCACAGAGAGCTAATATAGCTCTTTGCTTCCTCACAATAATGAATGACATTTCTTCATGGGGAATTTGTCTTCTGAGCAATGTTATCTAGGTGACACTGTTGGGCTAGAGAAAGAGCTGGAATTCCTTCGTGATGGAAAAGACATGGGTGGAGTTCCAGGGGACAGTTTTTTGGGGCTGCACAGATCCCCATTGTGTAGCTTCCAGAGAAGTTCTTCATTTTCCATCGACAGGCGTTTATTTACCTTTGACTCTTTCTCCAGAGATTCCTGTAAAGCTTGCTGTTCTGTGGAAAGCTGCCTGATAAAAAGAGAAAGCAAGCCCATTTACTCTTTACATTTGGATTAAGTTACGGATGAGACCTCCAGACATTTCCGCACCCCCCTTTCAGTGTATCTTCTTTAACCTCTAGCCACCAATAGGCTAGTTTAGGAACACTCAGTCGGGTTCTCCTTTAGGAAACTAAATTTTGTAAGGGACCCAGGTATCTCTGCACACTGAAGAGGGTGAAGTAACAGCTGCTCAGTTCCATAATATTCCAAGAATAGCTTGCACAAGCACAAAGGAACCCATCTGCGTGAATCACAGAGACCACAAAGAAGAAGTTGTTTACCAGTAACTGGGTTTTCAAGTGGTTATCTGTGCACACACATGTATTGATTTTCTTTTGTGCCTCCACTGAATAGTTCAGAAGCTTTTAGAGCTGAAGTGAAAGCACTTATGCTGGGAATCCCAGATCTGCTGTGGTGTGCATGTGCAGAAGGCTCCTAGTCCATTTGCACTAGAGTCTCCCTGACCCTGATGACCAATGCTGACTCATCAACTCCATGAAGTGCGAATGGAGCGGTAGGTCTCATGCTAAATTTGAGCTAGCAGAAGCCAAATGCCTATAAAGGGATATATCCTGATGCCCAGAGTGCAAACATGAGCAACAGTTACTGCCATGTGTTTGGTAAACATCCTTGGCATATTAGAATCCAAAACTAGGGTCTAAGAAAGTCTAGAAGTGTTTACAACATTAGCACGTTTCAATGATGGGCCCCTCTCCAAAGCAGAAAGCAGCACTTGGAGTGCCTATCCATTTGTGGTACTTCAACCACCCGTTCAAAGTAATTCTTAAAGAAAGCTCTAGGTACAAGAAGGAAGCTAAAGAAGGAAGAGAGACAAAGTCCTATTCAGTTTGATTCAAGCCAAAAAGATCAAGAACACACAAACTGGATTATCAGACAAAATCAGGAAAATGTGCCAGAGTCAGGGAAGAGCGATCAATATGAAAAAAGAATTGCTCAGCAGGAAGAGTAGCAGTCTCTCCTTTCTATAGAAACACTGTACCCGATGTGCTAATTGGAATAATTTTTCTGAGTTACCTAGACAGCTCCATGTGTTTGTCCATTCGAGCTTTTAATTCTTCATTTTCTTGCTGAATTTTCCTCATTTTTTCCATTAAGGTGTTGTTGTTCTCCACCTTGGGCAAAAAAATTGCAAATGTTATGTTTTAATTACAAGAAAGGAGTGCAGGGAAGCTACACACATTTAGAGGTTAATTTGTCACCCCAAAAAAGGTATTTTGTTGTTTGTAGACTAAGAAAATCTGCATTACAAAGATGTGAGATCCATCTCCTCCACTGAGTAGAGTGTCTGCGGAAGGAGGGGTTGGGGAATTTGGGGTGTCCATGCAAAACCTGTGTGCCTGATCCACAGCAAAACTCCTAACTGTGATTCATGCCCATATCTAGCTATGAATATATTGTTTTTCAGCAAACCAATCACACTTGTTGAAACATAGCCCTGACAAGTATTTAGATGCAAAATGGTTAACTGATAGAAAAAAGGAGTTCGCTTCTGGGATTATCCCTTGCTTGGTGTCACTTTGTGAATGATAGGGAGCAAAAGATGGTATTCTGTAGACTATCTTGACTGCTGCAATTAGGGTTGTCAGCATTCAGGCTGCCCTTTGCTATGTAAAGAGTCACATTTTTTCCTGCTGGCAACAAGGCATGGTACAGTGCAGCAACATCGGACCATTTTCTGGCTTTTTGAATTGTGGTTGACCTTTGTTCTCTGTGACCACATGGTCCAAGGGGGCAGAGTTCTGGCTTTAAATATAGGCTGGCAGAAGTGCGCACTTAATGGCGTGCGAAATTCTCTGATTCGATTTTTGACTCTAGTCTGGTAAATAGAAAGCCAAATAGCATTGCATACACCTGGGGGGCAGGAACATTTTAGGGGTAGGATCAGACTTCCTCCCTTTTTTAATTCTCTGATCAATCAGTCGAGATGGAGAGTGCAGGATCTGTTGCATTTGTAACACCTGTGGTATGTTTGTTTTCTTGCCAATGAGGTGCCTTGGTAGAAATACTCTAAGTGTTAGTTGGTGGTCCTCTTGAAAAATAAGGTCCGGCAGCTGGAGGCCTGTGTTCTAATCTCCACACTCTTAGGGAGCAGGCCGGGTAGGTGGGGCTCGTCAGCCTTGGAAGGCAACCCATCTAGGAAAAGGAAAACTCCAGTTTCAAACCTCCACTGCCTTGTGGCTATATCTACTGATGGAAAAGGCTTCAGGCGATAACCTTGAGGCAAAATCCAGAGCCGGAGTCCCAGAGGCTGTTTGTGTCATTCTGGCAACTCCTGTGATGTCACTGGAACCAGTTGTATTGGCTCTTGCCTTTCCATTGGACTATTTCGGCGACGTGGAGAGGGGGGATTTGCTGCTTGGGTAACAGCCTATCCTCCATATTATTTTACTCAGGCTTCGTGCTCTGGAGAGGACACACCAGCTTCGCATACAGTGTTGAAACAACACAGGAAGCGGCAGCTACCGGTTATGAGTCTTTGCTCGATTGGCATAGAGCATGATGCCAGGGGCTACTTCCGACAGTGGGGGAGGTCACTGCACCTCACTAGGTAGCTACTGCCTGCCTTACGCTGGGCAGTCCCCAGCCAGTAAGGTGCTACCTTACCATGGTCTGTTAACCTCATGGGGTGCGTGGGGTTTAGGGTGAAAGCCAACAAGCAGATCGATAATCCTGCACCATGCAACAATCGTAAGAAAACTTCTGCCCCAAAATTGGGCACCTGGAATATTCAGACAATGACCCCTAGCTTTTCTGACAACCTGCGAGAAATAGATGACGCTTGCTGGAGTTTTGCTGTTATTATGGTTTTGAGTCAGCAATACGTTCTTTAATAGGAAGCTTCAACACAGAGTTTCCTAGATACATCCAAGATCGAAGCATTGGCATCAGCTTGATTTGATCCTCACTAGACATTCTAGCCTTCCTAGTATTACAATCACACGCAGTTACCAGAGTGCTGATTGTGATACTGATCACTCCCTGGTGTGTAGTAGAGTAAAACTGCGAACAAAGAGATTATATCACACGAAAAAGGAAGGAAGACCACGTATTGACATCAGCAAGACTTGCAATGAAAGAAAAGTGGAGGAATTTGCCCAAGCGCTTGAGGAAACCTTTCCAGGCCTGGCTGATGCAAATGCACCTGAACAATGGGAACGTTTCAAGAACGCTGTTTATAACACCGCCTTGTCCACATTTGGCAAGAAGACCAAAAAGACGGCAGACTGGTTCGAAGCCCATTCGGAAGAGTTGATGCCAGCCATGGAGGATAAGAGGAGAGCTCTAGCAGCATACAAAGCCTGTCCTAGTGAGTACAATTTGCAGGCTCTTCAACTTGCTCGTAGCAAAGTCCAACAGGCTCCAAGGAGATGTTCCAATGATTACTGGCTTCAGAAATGGAGGTTGTTCATGACTTTGTGTACCTTGGTTCAACGATCTCTGACACTCTCTCCCTAGATGCTGAACTGGATAAAGGCATTGGCAAAGCAGCTACCACATTCTCTAGACTGACAAAGAGAGTATGGCTTAATAAGAAGCTGATGGCATATACCAAGATCCAGGTCTATTGAGCCTGTGTCCTGAGCATACTCCTGTACTGCAGTGAGTCCTGGACCCTTTGTGCACGGCAGGAGAGGAAGCTGAACACATTCCATATGCATTGTCTCCTGGCAGGACAAAGTTCCAAATAGAGTAGTCCTAGAATGAGCTGGAATTTTTAGCATATATACATTACTGAAACAGCGACATCTATGTTGGCTTGGGCATGTTGTGAGAATGTCTGATAGTCATATTCCAAAAGGTCTCCTGTATGGAGAATTAGTGCAGGGAAATCGCCCCAGAGGGAAACCACAGCTTCAATACAAGGATATCTGCAAGTGGGATCTGAAGGCCTTAGGAATGGACCTCAACAGATGGGAAACCTTGACATCTGAGCGTTCAGCCTAGAGGCAGGTGGTGCATCATAGCCTCTCCCATTTTGAAGACACACTTTTCCAGCAGGCTGAGGCAAAGAGGCAGTCCTGAAACCAGCAAAACCAGGGAGCTGCACAGGAGACAGATTGTATTTGTCTTCAGTGTGGAAGGGATTGTCACTCTCGAATTGGCCTTCTCAGCCACACTAGATGCCGTTCTAAGTCCTCCATACAGAACACGTTACCATAGTCACTCCAGACTGAAGGATGCCTAATCTAATCTTGAATCGTGTGTACAGAAGCACCATATCCCACATTTATAAACTGGATTTGTTCTGAATTCCTTCATTATCAGTACAAATCAAGATTTTTAAACATAATCACTCTAACAAAAAACTCACCAGATTTTCCATTTTCACTAGTTTGCTATCTTGTTGTCGGAGCTGTTCATTCTTTATCTCCAACACTGCTTTCAGACTTTCCAGTTCTTGTTCCAAATACATAAGCTGAGGGTTTTTCTGAAAAATTACACAGAAAAGCTTGTGGAAGGTTGCTGCATTGCCATGTGTAGGAAACATATTTCAAATCAAGTTTAGGTAATACTGACTGGCAACAATTGTTTTGGTCATGCTTAGGCTAGGAGATGAACAAACATCACGGACACATACAGGCCAAAATCATGTTGTGCAATTACACAAAAGGCTTAATATTTAGCAGAAAATTGCCCTATGTTAAGAAATCCTTGTAGGCATGATTTATTGCATACTGAGTTGTGTGACTGTGCAACAGACAATGTGTATGGAAATTTTTTCAAACTATAGCAATTTGCCACTAAAAGTTACACCTTTGAACAGGATTTTGGCCAAACTCATTATCTAAAACTTCATGCTCAGAATACCCTTCTATTGGGGGAATAATTTAATTTAATTTAATTAATTTTATTTTTAAAATTTATTTAATTTATATCCCACCCATCTAGACCAGTGGTTCTTAACCTTGGGTTACTCAAGTGTTTTTGGACTGCAACTCCCAGAAGCCTTCAGCACCAGCTGTGCTGGCTGGGGTTTCTGGGAGTTGCAGTTCAAAAACACCTGAGTAAACCAAGGTTAAGGACCACTGATCTAGACCAAAGTCTACTTTGGGAGGCTAACAACACTCAAGAATAATAAAATAAAACAAAACAACAAAACAAAACAAAACAACAATATTAATACAATTGAAAATAGCAAATAAATTAGGTATTGATAGGAAGGAAGGCCTGCCTAAAGAGCCAGGTCTTGAGTTGGAATGGAAAACTTCTTTAACCGTCTTGCTCTAAGATAAAGACCTCTTACACAGTGTGAGTTTTGGGGGTGATTTTCTGGCTTCACTGAGAATTGTGGGATATAAAAATGCCCCATGTCCAAAAGAATGTTAGGCTGCTGTGAACTAAGTGCTCCACTAAAAACTAACAGCCTGGAAGCAAAAGGTGGAATAAAAGTGAAACAAAATCAGATTTTTAAAAAATGGCATACTTTTAATGAAAACTGGTGGGGTGTGTGTGTGAAATTCACAAGAAGTTTACATTGTGTTCTTTTACTGCAGAGTATTTCCAGATCACTAATTAACTCCAATGTTATCTCCATGGAAGAAATGTAATTTTCCCTGAATGGGGACTAACAACCAGTTTAGTGCTGCATGGTTTCCTGAAAAAAAATGTGGGGCATTTTCATTCCCATTACATCTCAGTGCCATGTCTGCCCTAATATTGTGCTCAATCAAAAAAGTAACTCAATGGAAAATATCCAAACATCTATTACAACATTTTTGTTTCTGGTAGAGGAAAGCTGTACATGGGAAATGGATGAACTTCCAGAACACTGTTTACCATTGCGTACGTGATGATATAATAGAATGCCTAAACTGTAAGTTAGTTTTGTGTGGATCCTGCAATAAAACAAGTTTTGGAGAGTAAAATGTTCGACTATTGCAAAAGAATCTATTGTGCCAATACTATAACTGCTCTCCTTACATTACTTTACTCATGGAAATAATGAAATGCATTCAAGATGATTATCTTGCTGCCTTTTAAAGGTGTCTGCTAGGACAATGTAATGGAAGGGATAGATATCATTGGCCAGTATCCTTTTCCATAGCTCTGCTGATTAGCATGAAGAATATCACTGGCAGAAACAGATTACTGCTAATGAGAGTCCATGCTTCAGTTTTGGGTTATACATGTTTCCATCTCATTATGTACAACATGAAATCAATGCAGGGGCTCTTTAATTACTGTCAATCTACCACTGTTGATAACAAAATACCTGCTACATTGATGGAGTCATAGAACAGAATACTGGCCAAATATATTTCAAATTGTCTTCTTCTTTGAAACAACAGCAAGTCATTTTGTGATGAGAACATTAAAAAGTCTACAGAATCTATCCAGAATTATTTTATATTGAACAGTGAAGGAAAACCCATTTACTCTTCGGCAGAAGTGCACCTCCATACATGAATCCCTTTTGTCTCACACACAGACATTCCATTCTGCTGTCCTCTACTGAAGTGTAAATTGGAATGTTATGTGGTACAGGAGGGTTTAAACTCAAGCTCTGCTTTATAACCAAGTTTTTGTAATGCCAACGGGCCTGTTCAAAGAAGCATCCAGTTACAGCAATTAGATCCTTAATGGAAGGAATATGCAGCAATGCAATGTATCACCAGGCTAAAGAGTGAAGCAAGAGTTAAAAACAAAAATACAAATACTAACATGTTTACAAGTGGGAAAGATTCAAAAAATTTAAAATTGTGAAAATGAAACTTTTTTAAAAAAATAAAAGAAATAAGGTAGTTTAGTGTTTCTAAAGAGCCCCGGAGAAGACCCTACTGGAACGAAAGCAAAAGCAACTTCACAGAAATGTTTAAATTTAAACTGTTCTGATTTAGCCCATGGAATTGTGCCGGTTCTCTCTGGTATTTATCATCCAGGAGCAAATCATTCAAGGTATCACAGATAAGGCCAACTTAGATAAATGTAAAGAAACCAAATTTGCATTCTCTGCAGAGTAGTGGTATTACACTTGTGCACCCATGGCATATGAATGAATATGGCATTACACATAGTAAGGACAGTGGCGTAAAACGGGTGTTTTTCTACATTGTTGAAAAGTGTGGGTTATTCAATGTTCAGTCTACTGCACACGAGCAATTTGCAATAGCACATGGCTGAAATGTGACCAAACGCTGGGAGGCAATGGAAGACAGTAGGGCCTGGTGTGTTTTGGTCCATGGGGTCAAGAAGAGTTGGACACAACAACTAAACAACATGGCTAAAAACCCAAAAATGATTACTATTGCCATCAATCCATAAATTTGGTGTCATTATGCAGAAGTATGCTATTCTTCGGAGTCAATGGCTAAAATCCTCTTGCACAACTTTATGCTGTGCAAACAGGATAATGTCATGATCCCATGACTGTAATATTTAATTTAAATTAATTAAAAGCTTCCAATCTCCCCTTCTTTTAGGCTTCAGGGCTCCCTAGGTATCCCTTTTGCATTGGGGAAGCCTTTGGGGGTCTCAGGATAGGACAGAGCCTTTCATACAAAAAAGAACTGATCAGAACAATTGGCAGTGATCTGGCAGCATGTTTTGGCTATTTAAAGGTTCTCAAAGGCTTCCTCAAGGAGTCCTGGAACCTGAAAGAAGGTGGTGGAGGTTAAGGCAAGAAGCTTCCAATTAATTTAAATATTCCCACTGGAATATTCCCATTGGAGGATGATGTCATCCTACTTGCACAGCGTTAAGTTATACAAATGGGGTTCCAGCCACTGTGTGGAACACTGTATACTTTGATCAGGTTTCCTGAAAATGATCAGTGTATAGTGGGGTCTCTACTTAAGAACTTAATCCGTATTGGAAGGTGGCCCTCATGTTGAAAAGTTCTTATATTGAATCTGCATTTCCCATAGGAATGCATTGAAAACCATTTAATCCGTATCTGCTCTTTTCCGTCCATAGAAACTACAGTGGAACCTCTACTTAAGAACTTAATCCGTTTTGGAATGGTGTTCTTAAGTTGAAACGTTCTTAAATTGAAGCAAAATTTCCCATAGGAATGGACTGAAAACCAATCAATCCGTTCTGGATGTTTTTTGTTATGTGGAGGTGCGCTCGTACATTGAAGCATTAGTTCCCATAGGAACTAATGCAAAGCTGGTTAATATGTACTCTACCACTAGGGGGAAATTTTTTTTTTAACCTAAGATGACCTAAGGTTAAAAAAAGAGCAGGAAAGGTTTTTTTTCCTGTTCTTATCTTGGATTTCTGTTCTCAAGTAGAAGCAAAATTTAGCAAATGGAGCTGTTCTTAAGTTGGATTGTTCTTAAGTAGAGACGTTCTTAAGTAGAGACCCCACTGTATATGAATCTATAAATGCTCTAAATTTGTTCCTTTTTTTAAAATGCAGAAATCATCAGCATGTCACAGTTGTAAGTTTTGCTTTCACTTCTACTTTAACAATTTAGAATACACAGAAAATCTTGAAGAAAAATATTTATGTTAGATCAGACACAGGCTTTCAGAAACCGTACTCAGTTGAAGATCTAGATTATCCAATCATTGCCTAGGTGTACACTTAAGTATAAATTTAGCTCAGTACTTACGAGATTTGCTTTTTCTTTGGCTGCCCATTTTTGTTCTTCCAAATTAAGCTTTTCATTCAAACAACCAATTTCATTTTGTAGTTCATTAATTTTTTTCTGAATGATTGAAAAAAAAAAGCCAAAAATTAGATGTGAATTTTTAACGAGACAGTTCAGGAAATACTTACAACCTATACTAAGTGGGTACAAACCAAAATGATTAGTAAGCAGGAACAAGGAATGTGTGGTACTCCAGATGTTCCTAGATTTCATTTCCTATCATTCCTCACCACTGACTTGCTGGCTAGAAATAAATAGTTACATACTTCCCACTCATGTTTCAAAGAGGTAATGCTTTAGAACAGTGCAATCCCCCCCAGAAAACTGGTCTGAACAAAAGCATATATTACACAAAGCAGTATGAGTTACCATCTTTATACTTTGATGACCAAGAATCAACCATAAGCATGTATGGTATCTCACACCATACTGAGGAAGCAGACTATTGCTCCTTTATGTGTTACAAACAAATGATACAAAGAGACATTTTGAAACAACAGTGCCATCTAATTTAGTAAATTATTTTACATTTGCATGTGTTCTGTTCTGTTACGTAAAAGTTAAGTTCCAGACCTCTAGTTCTTCTTGTTTCTCGTGGAAAGAGTCTTCAAGTGTCTTTCGTTGTAATTCATACGTGCTCTTGAGTTCTGAAAAATGATTTAAGAGTCTTAACATCCAATTAAAACAAATAAACAAACAAACATGTCTGGATGCATGTGGTAACTACAATTCAGTTCCAAATATCCCCTGCTTGAACAAAAATCTTGAGAAGGCAGTGGTGAGATGGCTCCAGCTGTTCCTGGAGAATCCTGAACCCTTTCAACCTGGCTTCAAACCTGAATTTGGCTCTAAAATGGCTTTGATCACCCTGATTTATGATGGGGGTGGGAAGAACATTACTGTTGATTCTCCTGGAATCTTTCTGGAGACTGCTTCTGAAAAGTATGTTTGTAGAACCTCTGATCAACCCAGTAACTATTTTGCTATAGTGCCACCTCAATCATTTATTTTTATATATTCTGGATGGAGCTGTGATTCCTCTGAAAGAATGTGATAGGTTGGGAGTAATCCTTGACCAATTTTGTCACTGAAGCCTTGGTGGATTCAGTAGCATGGAGTAGCACTGGGGTGCTTCCAAGACATGATATAGAGTTTTGCCAGCTGTGGCTGTTCTTCAAAAGAGACAGCTCACTCTCAATTACATCCGCACTCATAACCTGACATCTAAATTACTGCAATGCTGCTTATTATAACATGATTTATCTGGGACTGTCCCAGAATATTAATGGAAATTACCTCTGGTAAAAAGCACAGTAGCCAGGATACTGACAAGGACATGTGGCCACTGATCAAACAGTAATACTGTAGTTCTGAAGGAATGGCAATGGCTGCCTATCAAGTTTTGAGTGCAATCCAGGTGCTTCTGTCAACCAATGGAGCACTGAAGAACTTAACACAGAGGAGAAATACATACAATTTGTTTGTTTATTGCTACTTTTTTTATTTGTTAATCATCCTGACTCAGGATGGTTAACAGCTAAAAATTAAAAACATCCTGAGACATGAAATGAAAAACAAAATACAACAAAGACAATTGCACCAATGTGTTTGTGTCACAATCTCTGCGAGAAGTATTATAATTACTAGGTTACAGTATATGGCATTACGTGGCAATAAAGATCATTATTTTTATGGTAAGGAAAATATAATTTAATTAGCAGTTATTGTGTACCAGGATGATAAATCATGTTAGACAGATTGAACAGCATGACAGAATTGTTTGCCTTTTAAAAGTCTCAAACTATCAGATATACTTAGAACAATGAGGGCAAGCAGCACAATTTACCTGAAAAGGATGATTCATACTCCTCCTTCAGCTCATGTATCTTTTCTGTATGACTTGTTTCAAGTTCTAGCTTAAAATTTTCATGTGTAATATTCAAGTTGTCCACCTAAGAAATAAAAACATGACGCTTTTGTAATGTTTGTTCTGGTCATCTCTGCCTTCGTGCCAATGTGTTTGTGTCTACGTAGAGCCATTCCTTTTGGAACCCAGATGTAGAGGCAAGAGTTTGGGCAGTAGCCCCACCCATCCACGATGCCACTCCTGCACTGGTACTCAACCCATCCGTTCTATAATTTCAGACAACACAGTGGCTAAGAATCAGTTAACCACTGATCCTGAAGAAAGGAGGAAGGATGAGTTGTGTGAATGCATGGATGACCACTTGAAGAACAAATGTTAGAAAAGCAATGTTTTCCTCATTGTGGTCTCTAAGCAGATGCATTAAGGGATAAAGTCTAGTGAATTTACCTCTAAGAAGAAAAAGTCAAGGCAGGAGAACAGGCACCTGTACTCACTGTAGGAATGCACGGAGTACTGCCTTCCTGAAGGAGGTACCATTCTCATATCTGATTTCCAATCAGGAACAATGGAGAAACATGGATGGTTGAGACCGGGTCACTGCTCAGCTAAAGCTGAGAAAGGCAATCCCTTTTAAGAATGCTGTGGATGTAGCTATAACTTTGGTGGAATGATTCTTGGATTGTTTTAGCAAGGGTGGCTAGCTCAGGTGCCAAAGTGTCTGGTTTAAATATTCATTTAAGCAAATCTCTGACAGGAGATAGTCAGCTCTTTCTTTTCTTAGAAAAAGATAGTCTTTTTTCCTAGCTCACTAATTATGAGATATGCAGAGTGTATTTGAGATATTACATTATAGTAGCACATCAACCTGTTTCCTACTCTTGGAAAAGCTGGGTGAGCAGACAAGAAATTGTTTATGGTAAAAAGGAAAAGAAAACAATTGGTAAGAGTATAAATATGTGCTGTAAGAGTATAAATATGCGGAGACACACAAACACAATCAACAAGACATAGTAACATCACAACTCCATGACACTTTGGGCATAAGGCATGAAAGTACAACAATTACATGGATTTGTATCCATAGACTTTAACTGGTACGGCTGGATGACCAATTTAGAAAATGTATTATTTTCTCTGTGTGTCTAATAATGTGCTTAAATGCTAAGAAAACTATTTTCTTTAATATATTTTTATTTTTTAACATCTTTAGTATGTATAATATGCTTTAAGGCTGAAGATTACTTAAAGTAATAACAACTGTTATTTTTAAATGATGTGTTTTGGATTTTATGAAGCTCTTTTATTTTTGGATTCAAACCTGATTTTTATTCTATCTACAGCTTAAGTTTTGTATCTGAATACCTGCAACTTCACATGGACATAACAACTTCAGATGGCACCTGTAACTTTTCATAAGTTGCAATGATGTATTTTAAAGTATTTGTGCCTATAATTTTCTTTCAACTCTGAAGTAATTTTGTGCATAAAGAATATAGAAGCAATGTAGATAAGTAAAGCTTGTAGAATTAGACAAGTTGATGTTGTCTGGAATCACTACAACAATGAAAAGACATGCTTTGATATTCAGATGAATGCTGATATGATTGTCTGCGATTGGTTTCATTCTGGAAATAGTTGGACAAATGCCAACTATGACAAACACAAACCAAATTTACTTAAAAATAAAATGAAACGGTGATGTTATGATTGTTTTTATTTTAAACTTGTTAATCTTCACAAATATTAAAGAGGTTTTTTTGTGGTATGTTAAAGATAAGCAACTGATCAACTTTAGACAAAAAGCTATAAATGGTTTTGATGTTCAAGACTGTCCATGGGCCGGACAGGAGCGGCTCACGGGCCATATGTGACCCTTGGGCCGCACTTTGCCCAGGTCTGTCATAAGGAATAGTCTCAGTGGCTCCTTTGCGAAGCAGTTTGTCTATCTCTTGAAACAAGTTAGTGGAGCTGAGCAAAAGATACTGGTGGCAGCAGGAGAGGTATTCCTGGGGCCATAGGGCATTGATGGGAAAAGAAAATGCTTGATAAAAATAAGAACAATTATTGTCAACTTAAGGAAACAAGTAACATAACAAATATGCAATAGAAATAAGCCCTAAAGAAAAGAATAAAGAAACATTTTTAAATTTTATTAAATGTTTGTTTGTTTAAAAAAATCCAGTCTGTTTCTTTCCTTGAGATGTTCTATGAGGGTATGGCAGCCAAAACTGAGGAATTTAATACCAATGTATGTGTGAGTACAGTGGAGCTAAATCTTGTTCTATACAGTCCTGAGGGGTTGGCTCTCTGCATGGCCACTAGCGTGGATGCACAGACACCATGTCAAAGAACATGTTTCAAAATATTTTTAAAAATGCTTTCAACTGAGTGTGTGCACTTTTTTCTGTGCAACTCAGAAAAAAATCATTCTAACCCATGGACAAGTAAACCAACATTAGATTACTGCAATTTTGAAACAGCCAGGAACTCTATATCACAAGAGATCAGCTGCCAAAGTCTCCACAACTTGAATGATGCAGCAGAACAGTTCCCTGGGATGCATGTATTTCTCAAGGGAAGGGTTTGCTCACTATTTTAAGACAGAAGCTAAACTGTCATCTCCACTAAGATCCTCACAGGCCTTCTGACACACCTGCTTTACTATCTACTGCACATCCGGGCAAGGAAAGCATGAAGTTACATTGGAAGACAGAGAAATCCCATGTGCATACAGGGACCGCCATACAGTAATAGGCATCTGCCAGGGCACATCAGTCAAATGAACCAATTATACAAATCTGCAGTGCATGTACCAACATTAAAAAAAACAGTTCAGGTAATTCAGGTGTTACTATTTATTATTCATACCATCCAAGATGTTTAATTGGTTATTATTTATTTATTTAAAATGTCTGCACCCTATCTTTGTCCTCAAAAGGACCAGAGGCAGCTTACAATATTAAAACAAACAATACAAAAACTGGAAGGGAAAAAAACGAGCAGCTTCTGCTTTTGGTAATAAGTTACTAAGAAAAAGCCTGCCTGAAGATAAAGGTCTTTGCCTTCCTGCAGAAAGACAGCAAAGAAAGAGTCAGCCTGCCCTCTCAAGGGAGGGAGTGCCACAGCTTGGGAACAGTGACAGAGAAGGCCCTTTCTTATATCCTCACTAAAAACCACTTGAGAAGGTGGTGGGACAGAAAAAAATCCCCCCTCCCCAATGATTTAAAAACCTGAGCAGGCTCATATAGGGAGATGTGATCTTTGAGGTAGCTTGGGAAATGTCTATCACCTGCTAGTTGCTTCAGTAATATTTAAACAAAAAGAGAGATAGACTCAAATATTTGAGGTAGCTTTGGAAATGTCCATCACCTGCTAGTTGCTTCAGTGATATTTAAACAAAAAGAGAGATAGACTCAAGATTCAGCAGAAATTCAGGCATATATATACCTGCTCTTGGAGTTGTGATTTGTATTTTTCAGCTTCTTCAATGCAGATGTTCTGAAGCTTTTCATATTCTGATGTGTAGAACTGTTTTAGTTTGTCTTCTAACTCAGATAAATCACTTTGGTGCTGCTGGTTCAGCTTCTGCACATATCTTTCATAGGTTGCTTGTAGTTCATTTCTCTCTTTCTCCAATTTCTCACAGGTTACAGAAGTTGTTACTAGAAGAGACAAATAACAGTACAACCTTGTTGTAGAGTTGATCAGCACATTTTCCAATAACTGTCATGCTTCTTTTAGACAAGAAATGCTAGAAGTATCTCCAACACCATTACAAAGTACAGTATCCTCAGTGGTAACCTTCAAGATGATTGTGCATGCACTGGTTATCTCCCAGATCGACTACTGTAATGCTCTCTATGTGGGGTTTCCCTTGAGGCTGATCCAAAGACTACAGCAGGTACAGAATGCGGCAGCCTGACTGGTGGCTGGTGTGAGCAAATTTGACCACATCTCCCCTATTCTGGTTCACCTGCAGTGGTTACCCACTGGGTCCCAGTTCAGGTTCAAGGTTTTGATGCTTGCTTTGTGGTTTGGGATCACGTTAGTTGTCAGAGTGCCATTTTCCAAGGTCATCTACTTGCATCACCAGATCCTACCAGGCCATGCTCCACCAGGTTGCCACTTCAAAGGAGACCATGGAATCATCCACAATTAGCTAGGCCTTCCTTGCTGTGGCAACAACACTATGGAATCAGCTTCCAGTGGACCTTCACCTGGCTCTCTTCCTCCTAATATTTAGAAGGGTACTGATAACAAAATAAAATAAAATATCCTTGTGCTATTTAGCCCACTAACCATTCATTCAAACCTTTATGGAATCGCCTGACAGAGGGGAAGGACTGTATAGCACAATCCTCATTTGGCTACTACTAACCACAAAAACAACTTTCTACCTTGTTCTACCTTCTAACATCTTCAAAAACATAAACCACAGGGAAGAAAATGTAACTTTCAAGTATACTGACCATATAATTCAGTCAAGTGAATTATATGTTTACAAACTAATTATGAGTATTTTAGTAGGAAAACAGCAGCTGAAGTTTAATAAATGTTTTTTAAAATTTCTAAATCTCTGAAGAGGAAGCAGCAAAATAGGTAAGTGCTACCTTAACACTTTTCTAATAGTTTTAAAAAATATGTGGAAGAAATCTACATGCACGCACAGAGTAACAACTATTCTCCTTCCAGAGACAACATAAACAACACTGAGTGAACACATTGCTTATGTGGATAAAATGCTAATATACTGTATGGACTTTGAAACTGAAAAATGTATTGTTTCAAAAGGGGAATCAAAGACATCTACAACTTCCCTTAATTTATTGTTCATACAGTAGAATATTTATAGACACTTCAACAATTCCCTACTAATGTAGGAAAAAAGCTTTTTTAAAGTCTCTGGAACAAGCTCCCCCTGAGATTCGTCTGGACCCCTCGCTGGGCATTTTCAAAAACCAACTCAAGACCTGGTTATATAGATAAGCCTTCCCTCCTACTTTGTTCTGTGTAAATGCTGTAAATTGTTGTCTGATATTAATCGTTTTTATTCTGCGTTTTGTGAGCCGCCCAGAGTAGACTATGTCTAAATGGGCGGCATATAAACAAACGACAAACAAACAAAGATGTGTGGTGATTCTGCCTATTCTAGCCATATTTATATGCATATATTGCAAATATTAACAGCACTGAATATGCATAGCTGTTGATGCATGATAGATAAACATGCATAGGCTGAATGCTAAAGTGACTGGCAGATTAGCAATGTAATGTTGGTGAAGGCTGAAAACTGATTGGTCAATGGGTTTGGAATGTGATCAAAGGTGGCAGTTGGGCAGAATAAGTCAGTGGCACTTAAGAATCTGCCTTGGGATGAAGAGGGAAAAATATTTAAAAGATTGTTTAGTTTGGAGTATGTGGGAATTAGTTAATCTTGAGTTTTGATATAGTAAAGTAGTTTATGGAGAAAGTATGTGTTCAAACTATAGAATAATATATCTATATATTATAACTATTTTATCCTTTATCTTAAACAACAAATTAATTTTCTTTTTCTTCTATTTAATTGAACTTCCTAAATGAACCCCTTCGTTTTTTCTTGAACAAATTAAATTAAATGTATTAAATGTAAAGTATAAACATTGAAGTGCTTGATATTACCGAACTAAAGTTGACTAGACTGGAAATTTTCAGTCAGTCAACTACAAAGTGTTCTACATTGGAAATGAAAACTTCAGAAGAAATGGAGTAGCTCTAATACTGAGCAAGATGTAGCACAGGTTGTTATGGGCTAGAATATCAATCAGATTCTCTCAAAAAGTGATCAGCATAACCATCATTCAAGTCTATGCTCCAACTACTAATGCTGAAGAAGATGAAATCAAAAGCTTTTATGCAACTGTCCAAGAGGAAACACACCAAAGCAAGACATGCTTAAATCACAGGTGACCAGAACAGAAAAGCAGGAAACAAAGCAGAATCAAATGCTGTTGGAAAATTTGGCCTAGGGGATAAAAATAAAGGAGAACAAATCACAGAGTTCTGCAAATCCAACAAACTGTTCATTGCCAATGCATCCTTCAGACAACTGAACAGAGGGCTCTACATGTGGATGTCACCTGATGATCATTATAGAAACAAAATAGACTATGTAATTGGAAGGAGATAGATGAGTTGTATTCTTTCTGTCAAAAAAGACCATGAGTAGATTGTGGTACTGACCATGAACTGTTAATATCCACTATTAGAGTAAAGTTGAAAAAGAACTAAAAGAATCATAGTGCCAAAATATAATCTAAACAACATTCCTAATTAATTTAAACTCCACATAAGGAACAGTCTGCATTACTAAACTCAATTTACCATGAATCAGAAAAACTACCCTGTTTCCCTGAAAATAAGACAGGGTCTTATATTAAATTTTGCTCCAGAAAACACATTAGGGCTTATTTTCAGGGGATGCTTTATTTTTTCATGTACAATCTACGTTTATTCAAATACAATCACATTTTCTTCTGGTTGTTGCACAATGGTGGAGGGCAGGTTTTCACTTAACTAGGGCTTATTTTTGGGGTAGGGCATATTACAAGCATCTTGAAAATCATACTAGGGCTTATTTTCAGGTTAGGTCTTCTTTTCAGGGAAACAGGGATGAATGGCAGACTCCTTTGAAGAGGAATCTATGATAAAGAACCTGTAGTTCTAGAAAGCAAAGTGAAAGCTGCATCAAAAGCACTAAGAAGAAGTAACCAGAATACCAAAAGAACTGTTTCAAGCCACAGAGACTGATCTGTCAAAATCCTAACAAGTATATGGCCACAAACATGGGGGAGGGGACAACAGCCCACAAACTGGAAATGTTCAATATACATTCCAATCCCTAAGAAAGGAGATACCCTTCTCTCAGAAAACTGTTACAGTTGCAAATGTTTTGGTACTCACATGCTCATTTCTTTGGTTTGTGTTGGAACAGCATAAAAAACAGAAAAATCAAATCTGATACAATCCCACACAGAAACCCAAAAATGCACTAGTCAGAATTATTGGCACCCTGTCTAAATTGTAAGAAATAATTGCTTTTCAAGCATGTGATGCTCCTTTAATTTGTATTTAGACACACCTGTCGCAAATAAGAGGTGTGGGCAATATAGTAATCACACTTGCAACCAGTTAAGATGGAGAAAAGCTGACTCAACCTTTGTGTTGTGTGTGATGCTGAGCATGGAGAAAAGAATGAAGTGTAAAGAGTTGTCTGTGGATTTCAGAAAAAAACTGTGGGAAAACATCAACAATCTCAAGGCTACATCTACAGAGATCTTAATGTTCCCATGTCCACTGTGCGCAATATCATCAAGAGGTTTACAGCCCATGGCACTGTAGCTAACCTCCCTGGACATGGATGGAAGAGCAAAATTACTGAAAAATTACAATGAAGGGTTGTTTGAATGGTGGATATACAACCCAGATTAACTTCCAAACAAAATCAAGCAGATCTGCAGACACAGGGTACAACAATGTCAGCTCACACTATCTGTCACCATCTGAATGAAAAGGAATGCTATGGAAGGAGGACACCACTGCTGACACAAAGGCATAAAAAAGCAACAGTGGAGTATGCCAAAACCTATGTGACAAAACAACAATCCTTCTGGGAGAATGTAGACAGATGAGACAAAAGTAGAGCTTTTTGGTCAAGGACATCATGGCACTGTTTACAGAAAAAGAAATGAGGCATTCGAAGAAAAGAACACAGTCTCCACAGTCAAACATGGTGGAGGTTCAAAGATGTTTTGAGGTTGCTTTGCTGCTTCTGGCACTGGATGCCTTGATTGTGTTAAAAGTATCATGAAATCGGATGATTACCAAAGAATTTTGGGGTGCAAAGTAGTGGCCAGTGTCAGAAAGCTGCGTCTCCACCAGAGGTCATGGGTCTTCCAGCAAGACAATGACCCAAAACACACTTCAAAAAGTACTCAGAAATGGTTACAAACAAAGCACAGTTGGGAGAAGGCATCCTTCAAATCTGAAGGCCCTGGAGCAGTTTGCAAAAGAAGAATGGTCTAAAATTCCAGTAGAGAGGTGTAAGTAACTCATTCACGGTTACTGGAAGTGACTGATTTCAGTTATTTTTTTTTTCCAAAGGGGGTGTTACAAAATATTAAATTAAGGGTGCCAATAATTTTGGCCATTGCATTTATGGGTTTCTGTGTGGGATTGTATCAGATTTGTGTAGACCTTTGGTCTAGATGGGCTATAGAAATCTAATAAACAAACAAACACATAAAATGTGACTTTTCTTCTTTTTTTGTGTGTTGTTCCAACACAAACCAAGGAAATAAACATGTAAGTACCAAAACATTTGCAACTGTAACAATTTTCTGAGAGAAGGGTTGCATTTTCTGACAGAATTGCAAAGGTGCCAATATTTTTGGCCATGACTGTATATGACCATTGCTTTAATTTCCCATGCAAGCAAGTGATGCTCACTATGTTGCAGCAAAGGTTTTTACCTCATATGAAGCGAGAAATGCCTGATGTTCAAGCTGGATTCTAAAAAGGAAGAGGTACTTGAGATCAGATTGCAAATATCTGTCAGATATTGGAATGCAGCACCAAATGATTTCAGAAGAAGATCAGTTTATGGTTTATAGACCTTAGCAAAGCTTCTGGTTATGTAGATCATGGGTTGTTCTGAAAGAAATGGGTATCTTAGCACTTTACTGTCCTGATGCGTAACTTGTTCTGTGGACAAGAAGCTACCATTTGGGCAGAATATGGAGAGACAGAATGGTTTTCTATAGGCAAGCATGTCAGACAAAGGTGCATTTTGTATACCTTGATTCAATCATCAATTCCAGATGGAGATTGCAGCCCTAGGAAGGGCTGCAATGAAGGAATTAGAAAATATAACAAAATGTGATGTGTCACTGGTACTCTGTTGCCAAATCTGTTGCCTGTAAAAATTTTCCTCACAAGTTTAATTTTATCTTAGATTCCTAATTTTGGTAAATCCTTGGTAAATAGAACACTGTTGGCCAAGATGGCCTTCATCTAAGCAAAATAAACATATACATTTAGGGACAAATTTACCTGCACAGATTACACATTTTTAAAGAGGCCATGGAGGCCATGAAGGAAATAACCATTAACAGGACTTTTTTTTTTTGAAGGGCTTAATAGATAACCGAAAACAATGATGTAAAATAACTGCAAAGAAGGGAAACTGAAGATTAATTAGATTAGAAAGGTTGTGAATGCTCCTTCTGACTGCTGCCAGTGCAGTGTATCAAGAGGGAAATGAGGAGGAGCTGTTAGGATGCATCTTGGGCAAAGGGAATGCCAACCAGGTGTCTACCAAGAAGCTATCAGTTTAGAACATGCTGGAGGATGTTCTGCAGAAGTGCATTATTGGATTGTGTAAGTCACAGAGATCATGCAGAAGAACAACGTAAACTACTGATGGTCTGTCACCATCTGAAAGTAGGAAACTAGCATGTGTGTTTCAACCTAACAAGATTCAAATATCACAAATGAGCATATCTGGTAAATTCTGAAATATAATTTTTGAGTGTGGACTACAGGGAGATCTACAGCAGCTGACCCTCAGATTTTTCCCATAGGTAAGATCGTTATCTAACTTCAAGATTCAGATATACAATATAAAAAGGAAATCAAAAGGTGGCTTCAGTTTTGCACTCATTGATGGTTAAAAAGCTCAAAGCAGCCTAACTAACCATTTTGGACTAGTATTATTTGGGCTCATATGACAAGCTCACCAAGACCATGATGAGTTCACCAAGAAAAATAAACATTGGAGCAAGTCCCACGCTGGGACTGCAAACAAACAAACAGATTCCAACCACCACTGCAGGGCCTGGCCTCCGCCGCAGCTACCAAGCCAGGGCTCCAGCCACCTCTGCGGAGGCTTTCAGGGCTTCCAAAGCACTGACACACGTAGGGCAGCCGCAGCAACGGGGCCAGCCATGGTGGAGGGGGCCCTTACTCACGAGTAGACCCATGCCTTTGGTGCCACTTACTCATAAGTAGACCCACACCAGGGATGGGCAGGGAGCGCAAGGGGCTTCCCGCGCCCCGCACCAATCCAGAGCCGCCCCACTTCTCCTTCCTCCTCCTCCTCAGCAGAAGTAAAAAAGTTCCCTGACCCCCTGCTCTAACCATTAGGGCGAAAGAGCTACAAAGAAGCAGCCTCTTTGCCACCAACAGTTTGAATTTCCCGCCTTTTCTCCCTGCCTTTTTTCCGTTCGTAAGTCAAAGCTCTGGCCGCAAGTCAAAGCAAAATTTTGCAGCCGGAGCTGTTCGTAAGTCAAATTGTTCGTAAGTCAGGGCATTCATAAGTCAAGGCACCACTGTATTGCTTCTGCAACTACTCTCAGCCTCTCCTTTCAAAGACCTGGATGCTACATATGGGTGAATGGTGTGACTAACCATGTTTCCACAAACATGTAACCCTTTTTTACAGTTTGTTTTAAAATTATTTTCCTGGCATCAGTTCTCTTAAAGGTAAAAGAAAATTTGGCAATGCACAAAAATGTTGCCTTCTAAATAATATGTAGTCTATGATTGTCATCCAGGGTATTATAAATATTACTACTCTTAACATCTAAAGCACTATTATGTTAAAAATGATGGAGGACACAATAGTGCTTTAGATGTTAAGAGTAGTAATATTTATAATACCCTGGATGACAATCATAGACTACATATTATTTAGAAGGCAACATTTTTGTGCATTGCCAAATTTTCTTTTACCTTTAAGAGAACTGATGCCAGGAAAATAATTTTAAAACAAACTGTAAAAAAGGGTTACATGTTTGTGGAAACATGGTTAGTCACACCATTCACCCATATGTAGCATCCAGGTCTTTGAAAGGAGAGGCTGAGAGTAGTTGCAGAAGCAATACAGTGGTGCCTTGACTTATGAATGCCCTGACTTACGAACAATTTGACTTACGAACAGCTCCGGCTGCAAAATTTTGCTTTGACTTGCGGCCAGAGCTTTGACTTACGAACGGAAAAAAGGCAGGGAGAAAAGGCGGGAAATTCAAACTGTTGGTGGCAAAGAGGCTGCTTCTTTGTAGCTCTTTCGCCCTAATGGTTAGAGCAGGGGGTCAGGGAACTTTTTTACTTCTGCTGAGGAGGAGGAGGAAGGAGAAGTGGGGCGGCTCTGGATTGGTGCGGGGCGCGGGAAGCCCACAAATGTGTGACATATTAAGAGGAAGAGGTAGCAAATTTTCATTGTCAATTTTGTGTAACAGCTTTATGAAAAGTAATCTCTTTGAGAAATCTATTATTATTTATGTACATGAATTACAACTGAAGGAAACAACCAAGGCCCTAAAGATAAAAAGACCTTCTATCTAACACACTGCAATTTTCTAACAGATACACTCATAGTAAGCCATGAGACAATAATTACAAATAATACTGAATACATTAAGGACACATGTGACTGGAGCTATGTTTATAAATAGAATCTGAAACTTAAACAGATATTTCTTACTGTAACACACCACATACACTTCTGTTGAAGTTGTTAATTAAAATACTGGCCTGCTTTTAAAATATAGAGGTTAAATACTATTAAAAACGTTATTACACTCTAAATGAAAATGAAATGGGGTATATCCCTCAAACTCAATTAATTTATACAGCATTCCATTTAAGGGTTTTTTCTTTACATGCACTGTCTCACTGAAACCAACAACAGATCTATAAGGAAAGTTTTTGTTATCTTACTATTACAGAGGAGGCCAAAGCTCATCGTTAGCAGCTTACATGAGGCCACCAAATGAGATCCAATACATCCTCCATTCTCTTAATCACTCCATCACAACTGGCTGGCAATGTGACATGCAGCATTTTAAAATGCCTGTTAAGAGTGAAGCCTTTGCCTAACAAATTTTAGGTGTTTCTCATTTCCAACCATAAGGTTATCTGCTCTAGTGCCTTGAAGCATTTAATGTTTACAGTAATTAACTTTTTTCTTGTTCATGCTGTCTCCCAAGGTCTAGTGCGACACACAATGATAGTGTATTTTATGGCTGATTCACTTACTGGCCAAATGTGGAAAATGTTTGAAAAACCATTTAGATCAACATACTAGTGCAGAGACACCCACTCCTGTCCCCAACCAGAGTTATTGTTTTGACTATCCAATGCAGAGGTGCTTCTAGTAGGTAACATTTTTTTTTTTGTTTAAAAGAATAACACAAGTTAACATGCTCTTACCCAACTCTCCACGACAATTTTGAATTTCTAGTGACAACTCTTTACATTGCTTTAGCACTTCCTCCCTCTGTAGAAAAAACAACACAGAGACACACATAATGTTAGTGAACACTCCAAGCAGAAAACATAATACTTTCCAATAATTAACTGGCATGCTATCTGTAGAATGACAAGAGACAGGAAAGAGATGTCAAGATATGAATCATCCAGGACAACAGCTTTGTAACATTCAAACACAGATGGTCCTCAGTTAAGGAAGCAGAATTGTTTAGAGAAGAACTCTGCCACTCGTCAGTGAAATCCATGAAATACTTAATTTAAAGTTTTCTGCTTAGTTTTTAGAATTAGATGACATACTGTAACTAATATTCACCTAGGTCTACAGAATCCATTATGCACGTCTTATCCACCCCTTAGAGAAGGACATGCAAAGACAAACATGACGTGTAATGTACTTTGTGACAAAGATAAACACGAACTTAGGCACTGACTGCTTAGTCTTCTACAGACTGATGAACTCCACTGCAAAATTTAAGAGACTGATGGTACAAGTTACTGTGTGTGTCAAGATTTGGTGTTTTTTTTTTTAAATTCTAAAGCTGTTTTTTGCTGGTACAAAACCAACCTGCAATTTAAACTTCATACAAAGAGAAGCATATGTAAGCTTTTCTTCCTACTCTCATTTCCAAATGTACTACCTAATTAAACATGCCCCAAGATCGACCACTATGGAATGTAACTTTGCAAAAATCAAGCAGCACCCACATAAATATATACAATGTTGTCAGTGCTTCCATGCATTCTTTCTTGCCTAGATGCAGCCACTGCTGTGGACAGAACACTGCAGAGATCAGATGACCCAGGCTCCCCTCAAGTTGCTTGCTGCTGGAACCATTTTCACCTTGCTTGCAGCAAAACACTGTTTAAAACTCCTTGACATTGTTCCAGAAGAACACTACAGAACAAATACCAATTACCTTTTTTGTAGCACACTGAGAGTACACACACATTTTGCTGCTAGAGCAGCCCATTGTAGAGTTTCTGCCTCTAGCTTCTCTTCTGCCCCCTGCATATACAGATCAGAAGTGTACAGGTGGCAAGCACTACCACAAACCAAACTGGTCCGGTCACACATAACTAACTACTAAGTAGCATTCCATTGGACAGTGCTTTTCTCAGCCCTGCTTCATCATGCTTTGCAGTTACCGTACTTCTTCTATTGGTCTCTCCCCAATACAGAGCTAGACACTGCAGCTTCTGCGCTTGGCACAAGCAGCCAGTGATTACTTAAAGCCACAGCCCTTTCATTTTTGAAAAATGAGAACTAGACATTATGAAGATCGATTGCTACTTACTCACACATCAGCTGGTACAGAGGAAGGGGCTGGGAGAGAGGGGGAGAGAAAACATCCTGCCCTCCTCTATGGATAATGGATCTTATTTTTAGCTTTTCTGAATTAGTGATTCTAGGCTTTCACTCTTAATTTATAACAGGGGTGAGGGGTGGGAAGTGCCATGAATTGAAAGGAGTGGAGAAAGCAAAAGGACAGACACATCACTCGCGATGTAGTCTCATAGTGGGCATAGTGCTTTACACTGTAACAAGCAGAAGAGTCAGATCCCTGATCCTACGAGTTTCTGATCTAAGATTGGGTGGGAGGGCAGGGGATCTGGCTATAACAGGATGAAGAGGTGAAATGTGGCAAATGCAGCTATGCCTACACCAACATTTTAGCACCAGTTTTGTGATTGTCTTTTCAAGCACCTTAGGATTTATGTCTCACTATTAATTGCATTTTCCAAATGGCAGCTTACTGCCCCAAGTCTACCCCATGAGTTCAGTCCCAAAAGGCTGGAACCCGGATACTTTGCATTCACTGGGAGAAATTTGCACCAAGTAATATGGCTGTTGGGACCTTTCTCAGCACCCCATTGCTGAGTGATCTGTTTTGTTTTGATTTTAAGGTAGAACGTATTCAGTAGTAGTTCATCATTCTCTTCTTCTGGCGATGCTCTGGGACTATGCAGTGTTTGCCCAGTGCCACACAGGCTGGCTCTTCTTTGCAACAGACACGGTGGGGAATCAAACTGTCAACATCATTCACTGAGCTATCAAAGCCAGCTTAATCTACTGCTACCTCCGGGTTTCTTATCTGGACCCAACTTGGATACCTGCTATTTTATACATGTCAAAAATCAATATTTAGATTTAAAAACCCATTTTGATGTCTGGACTGTCAACATGAATATAATCGTCTTGGGCTCAAACCCTTGCTCAGCCATGCATTGACAGGGTAGCCACTGGAAAGTTAAACTTTTCTACCTCGGTTTCCCAAATGTATGCTCAGTATAAAACAAGAATATGAATGGATATTTAGGGATGCCTACAATTCACGAATAAAAATATGTATAAGTTTACATACTATATAAAAATTGTTAATTATTAGCACAAGTAATTTTCAAGTAGCTAATATACAAGGAACTACGGTAGCTGAATTCAAACAAGCAAAGACTGCCATGCAGACAGATGAGAGAGAAGGCCCCACCTTGAGAACACATTGCTTATTTTCAAGACATTCATTCCAAGAGCAAATTGGTTTAAAACTCACAATAAGAAAAATCCACTTATCTGATAACCCAATTAAGTGGCAGGCCACTCCTACTGACCCTGGGTAATAGCATGAACTGAGGCATTGTTCTTAGAGATCTGGGTGCAACAGAGTAGAGATCCACCCATTACACTGATAAGAATTTATTATTGTTAAGATGAACTCGGAAGGTCTCCAAGTTGGGTACATAAAATTTAAGATATGTAGTTATCCTGCACTGAGCAATATTTTGTAAGTCTGAGCTAGAGGACACAAAGATGGCTAAAATATTTTAATAATTAAGGCAGCTAGTGAGATGGGGAGGTCACATAATCTGTCAAAATCAGTAAACATAAAGCATGCAAAGAAAAAAAGTCAAGTCAAATTTACTGAAGAAGTCTATGGACCATTTCACCAATCATTCACCATATACAATAACATTATCAAATTTTATAAATTTACAAAGTATCAACTCTTACATGAAAAAAGAAAATTGAATCACATGTATCTCATATATAAACCAAATACTCAGAATTATATCACTCAGGTCCTCAATCTAAGATAAATTACTGTTAATCTCATAAAACCTTGCCTTAAAATCCTTATAAAAACTGCTATATAATTTTAAAAAAGCATACATTTCTTTTCATCCTCTTTCTTTCTAAGGCAGGCTGCCTTAACTGCATTAAAGAGCAACCCTCTGTGTTATCAACATGCTGGATCCACACAGGTATTCTAATTTCCTCTCATCATCCCATGTCCTCATCCTATTAAAGAGCGGGGCAAAATAATGTTTTCTAATATTAGCATACAACTGACAGTGCAGCAAAAAGTGGGCAAAAGCTTCTACTTTATCTTTCCCACAGGGGCAATGTCTAGTTTGTACAGGTATGCCCAAAACCCGACCCCTCTGCATCATTGTATTCATTTGTTCAAAACAGAATCATGTAAAAGCCACATACACGTCTTTTTTCATTGTAAAGGACAGATATTTTTCTCAATTCAAATTTGGCATGTGCAATGCACATCATAGGAAGATAGTACTATTTCTTGTCACAGATAGAGAAACAGAATGATTAGCAGTTTATCCTAGTTCTATACCAAATTTTGTGATGTTCTGTTTCAAAGGATGAAATCTTGTTGCTTGGTGTACAGTGGACCCTCTACTTACGGAATTAATCTGTATTGAAACGGTGGCTGCAGGTCGAGTCTTCATTGACCTACAATGCATTGAAAACCGATTAATCCTGTAACCGGCCGTATTTGTTTCATTTTTGTTCCATTTTGGCTTTTTTTCTGGTCTGTAGGTCGATTCTCTGGCTGCAAGTCGAACCTAAATTTTGCGGCCAGAGAAGTCTGTAACTCGAAAAGTCTGTAAGTCGAGCCATCTGTAAGTCAAAGGTCCACTGTAGTATGTAGGTTCACTGCATCAGTGGGGATTTGATGAGCAGACTTCTCCTTAAGATCCACTTGTTCAAATGGGCCTACTCTATTTTACTTACTATGCTAAAATAAGTCACAACTATAACAGACGTATTTAAATCAATAGAATTTATGGGGAAGTAGACTCACCAAATCCCTAGTTATTCAGTGGGTCCTTTCTGTTTGCAATTACAGTGGTGCCTCGCTTAGCGATCGCTCCGTTGAGTGATGAATTCGCTTAGCGAGGGGGTCCGGGCCATCGCTGGAGCATTCGCTCAGCGATGGCCCCTATGGGTTTTTTCCGGTGTGCGATGTTCGCTAAGCGGTTCGCTTAACGAATCTCGCATAGCAAAGCAGGGGAGAACAGCTGATCGGCGGTTCCAAAATGGCTGCCGGAAGGTCCGCGCCACATTTTCGCGCCCTGCCCTCGCTTACCGAAAATGGCGCTATGGAGAAAATGGCGGCGCTATGGAGGAACTTCGCTGAACAGTGAGTTTTCAAGCCATAGGAACGCATTGAACAAAGTTCAATGCGTTTCTATGGCTTTTTCCTTTCCGTACAGCGATGTTTCTGCATAGAGAGGGTTAATCTGGAATGGATTAACCTCGCTATGCGAGGCACCACTGTATTTGTGAAAACATACTGCAACTAGTTAGCGCTTATTAGTCTGGGGAGCTTAGACAGGCCAGCCCCCTTGGCACGGATTGAAAACCAGACGAGCTCTGCAATCTGAAGCTGGTCGATGGGATGACGCCTGGACAGGCTTTGGGTGGGGATGAGACAGGTCCTCTTTGACACGGGGGATGCCTGGACACAGAAAGGCTTTGGGTGGAGCAGAGCCTAGCCTAGGAGACTCATCTGTCCACCAACGTCTAACTGGACTTGCTGACAACCTTCAAAGAAACAAAGATGCTCGTTTAGAACTAGAAAACTGGGGATTGCAACTTGGCTGCTGAGACTGTCCGGATATGATAAAGACAGCCCTCGGAGGTTTGGGGGGCTTAGACAGGCCAGCCCCCTTGGCACATTTGGGATGCCAGGACCGGCTTTGGGTGTG